GTGCTGCTCCAGAGGTCAAGGACCGCGTTGTTGATTTTATCCTCGGCGAGGCATATTGGGAGATAGACCTTAATGAAAACCCCTGCATCTTTCCACGATGCGGACATTTCCTGACCATGGAGAGTATGGATGGCCAGATGGACATGAAAGGGCACTATGAGCTGGATGCCGACGGTAAGCCAGTCGCGATCACCGAGTCATCAACGCCATTTTCCGTCGAGGACGTCAAAAGATGTGCCACCTGCCGGGGATCTTTGCGGGATATTTCTCGGTACGGTCGGCTGGTACGTCGTGCCATGTTGGATGAGGCTACAAAGAAATTTATCTTGTATCTCAACAATGAATACGTTCCAATGGCCCAGGAACTGCCAAAGCTGGTTACCGCCCTACCTGAAGCCAAGGAATTAGCCGGGTCGCTGGCAATGTTCCAAATCGGTGAAGCCATCCGGGTTGAAGGCTCCGGTAGCCTACAAATCAAACGCCTGGGGGATCTCATGAAGAAGCACAAAATGAATCGCTGGGATGGACTACTCCGGTTGAGGAAGCGCATGGTGAAATACTATTCCAGGGTTCAAGTCGAAGAGCAACCCTTCAGTCGCGTTCAGTACCTGGTGGAGCACGCACGGCGGCAGAAAGAATCCCAAGGGACATTTAAGTTCAATGAATCTGTGTTGCAAACGAAGGGTGTTTTGCTAGCACGAGCACTTCTCATCCGGCTAGACATTGCACTGCTCGGCGACTTTCTCTCGCTTTACAGCATCGCAACTCCACTGTCCACACGGCGTGAGCTTTTTGTCGATCTGCAGAAAAATATGGATGACTGCCACAGCCTCATCCAGCTTGCCAGCGAGCTGCACCGAGTCGCCCATCAAGTCGAGGGCTACATCTTCCTGGCGCAGCTCTGTGCTCTGCAGCGATCCCACATTAAAGAAGTAGCTGATGCAGAGCGTCGGCTTACCGAAGGCTGTGAAGCCCTTGATGCTGCCGAGCAACTTTGTAAGCAGTATCCGGGCCAAACTCAGGGGTTTTCGGAGGAGATTGAAAGCTCCAAGGCGATGTTGAGAGGCTCAACTTTCTATAGCGCCGTCTCCAACGAAGAACGAATGGCAGTGATCACGGCCATGAACCGCGAATTCAGGGGCACTGGCCACTGGTACTATTGTCCAAACGGGCATCCTTTCACGATCGGCGAGTGTGGAGGCGCGATGCAAGTCTCAACGTGTCCCGAGTGTGGTGCCCCAGTTGGGGGGCAGAGCCATCAAACGGTCGACGGAGTTACGCGTGCGAATGACTTGGAACAGAGACTAGCAAACTTGAGGCTTGAATGATGTGAGATTAGACAAGGGGATAGTTGAAGGTGTTGGGAATGAAGTGGTTGATTAGCTGTTCTATGTTGTTGATATGTCATCTGTAATGTTGGTGCGCAATAACCCAGATAGTACTGATAAGAGTGATGACAATCTTGCTTATTATTCTCTACCTAGTTAATTTGAATCTATGGAATTTGACGAATGATATCTTATAAATCGTGAGTCGTGAAATAGACTTAGGGTGACTCATTTTGGCTCATGTTGATGGCGGATTACTCAGTTGCGGGAATCTCTTACCAATCGAGATTACATCACCACATTCCAATAAGTATAAAATAAACAACAGCCCAACTACAACCACGTACCAGCCATTGCATGTTTCCAAGTACATCAACATGACTACCAATCATTCCCACAACATCCTAATTACCGGAGCCTCTGGCTACCTGGGAGGAACTCTCCTTTCCCGCTGGCAAACAGCCCAACTGCCCTCCCACGGCACCCTGTATGGTCTCGTGCGAACCGAGCAACAGAGCCAAGCTGTGCAGCAATACGGCGCTACTCCATTATATATGAGCCTCAATGACGACCAGAACATTATCCAGACCATCGTCGACCATGAAATCTCCATCATTTATTTCCTCATCGACGCCGCCAGCGCCCGCACCCAAGTGCCCATGATCCAGGCACTGGGCCAAGTGCGCGAGCGCACTGGAAAAACCGTCCATTTCTTGCATACTTCTGGTGCTAAGCTATTCAGCAGTCATGCTGGGCATCCGACCGATCGTGCATTCTCGGATGCTGATCCGGGACTGTATGAAATGCAGAGGACTGCGAAGCCGTCGCATCCGTGGCTTGGGCCGGTGAGTGCCATCTCATTTCCGTATCTTCACAATTGTCTATATACTTACTGAGTCTAGGCTTTGGAAGCTAATATCACCGTAATTGCTACGGCAGAAGCACATGGAGTACGCAGTTACATCTTCATTCCGTGTGTGGTTTACGGACCAGGAGAAGGGTTCGGGAACCGCATCTCCATCCAGACGGTCGCGATTGTCAAGGCAGCCCTCAAGGCAAAGCGTGTGTATCGTGTGGATTCGGGACGGCCTGTATGCATTTATTCCTCGTCTTGTTTTGAATGTCACTCTAGTTCAAGGCTAATGTGCTATAGGTCTGGCCCGTCGCTCATATCCAGGACACCGTCGGTCTGTATCTGGATCTGCTTCGGAAAATGCTCCTAGAGGAAACACTGGATTCGGGTCGAAAAGGGTACTACTTGGCTGCGTCGGGCACTGTGGCTTGGGATGATTTGTATAGTGCTATGGCGCAAAGGCTGGCGGAACGAGGAGTAATTGAGGATGCGACTGTGGGGGATGCCAATGATGCTGTCCTAGAGGAGATAGGCGAGGCGCTGAGTCGTCCGAAGGACTTTGTGCCTGTAGAGTTGGGCGGAGGGTAAGTTTCCGAAGGATTGATGCTGGCGAATGTACTTGTACTGATGTTGGTAGATGTGTGCTGGATGCGCAGCATGGTCGACAGTTTGGCTGGCGGCCTCGGTATAGCCCCGAGCATGCTCTCACCACGGCAAAGGACGAGGTAGATTGGATCTTGGAGCATCTAGACCGGAGTTTAAAGGTGTTGACACCACGATATGAGCGATTGACCAAGAGTGCTTGAGGGGTTGTACATAGTATTGGTTGTGATACTGTTATTACATATAAACTAAAGGATTTGAATAAGATATCTATAACCTCAAACAGCCGAGAAGGATTCGGAAATATATACCCAAGGGTACGCCACAAGGTAGCAAGACTGTGACTCTGTTAGCCATCACTCTAGGCCTTTGAAAGATCCCCTCTCATGCGATCATAGTTGACCACAGCCTCCAGCATTGTCTGAGTACCGAGAGCACTACATATAAGAGTCAGCAACAATATTAACCACGACAACGACGCACACTTACCAATGAGCCGGGCTACAATACTCCTCAGGATGATGGCTGACACCGTCCTTGCATGGCACAAAGATCATCGCCGTGGGACAATGCCGACTAGTATAAACACTATCATGACCGGCTCCGCTAGTCAGTTGCATCCACTGGTCCTTTCCGACCAGCTGCGTGGCTGCATCCTGGATAGCGGTGATGCAGTGCTCGTCGAATTTGACAGCCGCAGAATCCGTGTCCAGCGTCCAGTCCAGCCAGACGCCCTTGCCGTCCTCCTGCGCAATCTCAGCAAACGCTTGCAGACATTCGTCCTGCACCGCGTGCACTACAGCGTCCTGGGGATGGCGGATGTCCAGGGTGAAGGTCACTTCGGAGGCAACCGTGTTGGTGGAGGAACTGCGCGGCAGCTTCATCACGCCCGTGGAGGCGAGTGCGCCATGTCGCTTGGCAATGGCGTTGGAGGCCACGATCATCTTTGATGCAGCAAGAACGGGATCCCGGCGTGCTGCCAGGGGGGTCGTGCCGGTATGGGCATCACGACCACCCACCGTGATGGTGAACCACCGGTATCCCTGCGCTCCACGCACCACACCTACAGACCTGCCCGCCTCCTCGAGTATAGGTCCCTGTTCGATGTGGAGCTCGAAATGAGCGCCCAGAGGAAATCCAGTCGCTGGATCATGGGAGCAGGCCACTGAACCGAGGAAGCCGTGGCGCTCCAACTCTGAGCGCAGGGTCACGGCCGGGTTAAAGATGTCTGTCAGTCCCCAAGCTTTCTCGAGGGGGATTTCCCCAGCCCAGACACCGGAGGAGCACATGGACTTGGGGAACCGAGCACCTTCCTCGCTGTGTGCCAGCGGTTAGAACGATGGTGTAACATCAATGGGTACGCAGCAGTTAGACGTACTTGGTCCAGTTAACCAATCCGATGTCAAAGTTGGTTCGGAATCCGTTCTCCTTCATAGTGCGCAAGACCTCCAGGGCCGCGAGGACACCCAGAATCCCGTCATAGCGACCTCCCCTAGGCTGAGTGTCAAGATGGCTGCCCATCGCCGTCATGGGCGCGGGTGATCCCAAGGATCCACGCTGTCTCGCAAACATATTGCCCATCTGGTCGACCGTAACTGTGCAATCCAATTTCTCAACTTCTTCGCGCAGCCAACGGCGCACCTTGGCATCATCTTCGGTCAGGCAGAGTCGAGCCATGCCGGTCTCTGTCGGTCCTCTGCCATGTCGCCGTCAGTTTGAATATTCCATCTCAGAGACTGGCGAACTTTCCAACGGGCGCATAACTTACTCGCCATATCGGTGGGAAGCTCCCCATTCACATGTTTGATGGAGGGTCTCCATGAGGCGATCTGAGTTGATACGGAGCCCTGAACCCGACGCGGTGGATAGCCAGCGGCGCGAGGCCGGGCGCGACAACTGGCGGGTAAGTGTACGGCCAAACATCGTCGGGGCGTAGAGGCGCAGCTGTGATTACTGGGCTCTACCAGTTTGCTGGTAAAACTTGAGTCTTATATACGCAGACGATATACATTGCTTTCGGAATGGGGGAGGAATTGAGTTTTCGGGTATGCCCTTGCGCCTTCTGGGGACAAGTGAAAAGTGAGGGTTTGTCGCGAGAGGGCGCATCCCTTCTCGGCAACCGGGAATGAAGGTCTCTTTTCTCCCCGCCCGTTATATATGGAATGGCACCATCCAGTCAGTGGGATAGACGAGAATTCAAAAGAAATCCCATCATAATGTCCACTTTCCGCAGGCCGATCTACGTGAATCCCAGCTCGTCCACGACCACCTCGGCGGCCTCCCCGGGGGCGCTGGCCTTCCACCAACAATTCCCCGGCTATGCGGCGAGCCCGCTGGTGCCGCTGCCCGCTGTGGCTGAGGAACTAGGAGTGCGTGCTGTCTACCTCAAGCAGGAGAGCGACCGCTTCGGTTTACCCTCTTTCAAAGTCCTGGGGGCCTCCTGGGCCATCTACCAGGCCATCCGCTCGTTTGTACAGTTACCAGAGGGTACATCACTTGGCACCTTGATCGAGCGGGTGCGCGCACAGTCCGCGCCCATTACCCTGCTCGCGGCCACTGAGGGCAACCATGGCCGTGCTGTGGCCCGCATCGCCCGGCAGATGTCGCTCCAATGTCACATCTACGTCCCGTGCACAATGCACGCCTACACTCAGGAAAAGATCCGCTCCGAGGGAGCCGAAGTCAAAGTGGTGGACGGGGACTATGACCACGCCGTCGAGACCGCTGCCACGGCCGCCAACCAAATGTCACAGGGCATCCTGGTGCAGGATACGGCGCTAGAGGGCTACGAAGAGATCCCGGCCTGGGTGGTGGAGGGCTATGCCACCTTGCTCCAGGAAGCCGACGCCCAGCTGCACGCCCTGGGCCTGCAGAACAGCCTCGTCGTGGCCCCGGTGGGCGTGGGCTCCTTCGCGGAAGCTGTCGCCACATACTATAAGTCGCGCGACACGCCCGCCACCGTCGTAGCCGTGGAGCCGGATACAGCGCCTAGCCTGACGCACAGCTTGCAACAAGGCCATCCAAGCTCCGTCATCACTAGTCCCAGCATCATGGCCGGCATGAACTGCGGCACGGTATCATCCGCCGCCTGGCCCCTGTTGCGGCAGCTAGTCGACGTTAGTCTCACCATTTCGGACTGGGAGAGCCACTGCGCCGTGCAAGACCTGGCTGCCCAATCCATCGACTCCGGTCCTTGTGGTGCTGCTTCCCTGGCTGCCGTCCGCCGGCTGAAGGCGGAGGCTTCACCGACCTCGACTTTCTTTTCCCCAGATTCCGTCATCCTGCTTCTCAGCACGGAGGGCTCTCGCCCCTACAAGGTCCCAATGGATGTCTCCGTGGATGATCCGGTGGCGCTGACACAGGTGCTCACGCGGATCAACTCCTCCAATCCCACGTTGTCCAAGACACAGGGCGCCGGAGAATCGGCCATTACCAACTACCTCTGTGCCTGGTTCGCCCATCGTGCCATCGAGCACCATCGCATCGAGACGGCGCCCGGACGACCTTCGGTGGTGGGCATCATCCGCGGCTCCGGCGGGGGAGCGTCCGTCATGTTGAACGGACATGTCGATACAGTCAGTCTGACCACCTATGATGGCGATGCGCTCACAGGCCATCTAGGGGTGAAAGATGGAAAGACGGCCGTGTTTGGTCGCGGCACGTTGGACATGAAGGGTGGTCTGGCGGCCGGGCTCTCAGCCCTTCTCGTGGCCCGAGAGCAACGACTGGCTGGAGATGTGATGGTCGCAGCGGTAGCAGACGAGGAAGATGCTTCGCAGGGCACCCAGGACGTGATTGCGGCAGGCTGGCGGGCTGATGCGGGGATCGTCCTCGAGCCGACTAACATGGCCATCGCGCACGCGCACAAGGGCTTTGTGTGGGTAGAAGTGGAGATCTTGGGCCGAGCGGCCCACGGGTCCCAGCCAGCCGATGGGGTGGACGCCATCTTGAACATGGGGCACCTGCTCCAGGCATTGCGTGAGTATCAGACGCAACTGCCCATTGACCCGGTGCTAGGACGGGGGTCACTGCACTGTGGAGTCATCCAGGGCGGAGAAGAAGTCTCCTCGTACCCTGCCAGCTGCACACTGACTCTGGAATACCGCACTGTGCCGGTGCAGACCAATGAGATGATCCTGGCTGAGCTGGGTGCCATCCTAAAGCGACTAAGTGATGAGCATCCCGACTTCCAGTATCGAGAGCCGCGCATCACGCTTTGGCGCCCCAGCCAGCATGTTCCCAAGGATCATCCCGTGGTGCAGCAATTGGTCCAGCTGGGCACCGAGGTTGTCGGACAACCTCCCCGGGTCCAAAGTGCCCCGTTCTGGTGTGATGCCGCATTACTCACTGAGGCAGGGACCCCAAGCGTGGTGTTTGGCCCATCGGGGGCAGGCTTGCACTCGCGCGAAGAATGGGTGGAGGTGGACAGTATGCGCGAGCTGCGGGAGATTCTGGGGCAGTTTATCCAGCAATTCTGTAAATAGATCGAGACAACATGATCAGATATCATGTACCTATGAAGGAGATGATACAGAGAATAACAGAATAGACCTGAAACCCCTTGAGCAATTGTTGTTGATAATATGATCTACTCACGTTACGAACTTCGGCAAAGTTGATGGAGATTAGTAACCAGTTAAATCCTCAGGCCAATCACCGGCTGATTTCGCCGACTTCCTCCCTAATATGAAAGGCGGTGAAACAAGCGACCCTCTTCTGTCCCCGCCTTCCCCCATGTAGCCTCTTCCCTTCTTCTCCATCTTCTCCTTCATCTTCCCCTCTTCCTTTTATGTGTAACTTCCCTCCTCTCTTGTCTTGTGGACTGCCTTCTATGCCTTCACTATGACATTCCCCATAGTCCATTCTCCTCAAATTGTTCTTCAGGTGGCTTGTCCCTAGCTTACCTCCCTCCCCACGTCATGGCCAACTCCTCCGACGCTCCCCCGCCATCCACCGACGACGACCACTGGGCGCAATGGCTGCCCTCCGTCTACCCAGATGCCCTCCCGGGCGTGGTAGACGCGGAGGCTCTCTCATCTATGACTCCTCAGTTGCAGGATGACTGGGGCTCACTGGAGATGCTTTCCAGCGAAAACCTTTGGTCGACGCAGCCGGATTCCACCAACGACACAACGATCATCCCCCCGCCCGATGACTTTGTCAATGTCTCTCAGTGGCTCGCTGGCGCATATAGTCCCCCTGTCCCCTGCATGTACTGTCAACAGCACCGACTGCAGTGCCTCATCATTCGCACCACCCAGGCCAATCCGAACCCCGTCACATCCTGTTCCAGTTGCGTCGCCCTCTTCCGTGAATGCAGCCTCGCCCGCGGCGAGAAGCGCCATCCTGCCGGCTTCGAAACCGTCTTTCCCGTGTTCAATCATATGCATGGCGTCACCGAGTGGACCGAGGAGGAGCTGTTTCCTGCTCCACATGCATTACCGGTGTCGGATACACAGAATGGCCAGGCGCAATCGTCGCATGACCAGGAAAGAAAGGAAGAGGACGGACAGCACAGGCCACGGTTTTCCCGAAAAGGTGCCAAAGTATTGCGGGATTGGCTTTATCGGAACCAGCATGCTCCGTATCCCACAGACGAACAGAAGGCAGCATTTGCCCAGCAGACCGGCCTCACCGAGAAGCAGATCTCCACCTGGTTTGCCAATGCCCGACGGCGCCATCGTATGGCCCACCGCACCTCCCGACCGAGTCAGATCTTCCGCAGCGGCTCCCCAATGCCCACTTCCCGATCGCCGGCCCTGACTCCAATGGAACGCTGGCAGCGATCACCACCGGACCAAGAACCCGTATCAGAGTCGGCTATTCAGCAAGCTATTGCCGCCGCCGGCACTGATGCCGCCTGGGATTACCCCAGCACCCCTGGCGGCGCGAGTCCCAGTTCTCGCCACTTCGCATCCTCCATTTCGAGTATCGACAGTGAACCGTCGCAGGCGTCGTCCGGGAGCTTCTCATCCGCCTGGAGTCATCAGTCCGAGAGCTTTCTGCCGTTCCCCCTGTCGGATGGGTGGCCGCGATCCCATTCCCGTCGCAGACGGCCCAGGCGCCAGTCGGCCGCGGGGAGCCCATATCAGTGTACTTTCTGTGTGGATATGTTCAAGAAGAAGCATGATTGGGTCCGTCACGAAAAGAGTGTACACCTGTCGTTGGAATCCTGGATATGTAGCGTGGGATCGGGCGCTCTGGATCTGGTTGGCTCGGACGTACTACAATGCGATTTCTGCGGAGCCTCTCCACTTACCGAATCTCATTTCTCGACCCATGAGTTCGACGTGTGCGCTGATCGCCCGCTATCAGAACGTTCCTTCCGGCGTAAAGACCATTTGATCCAGCACTTTCGCAAGTTTCATCACTGTACCACGGTCCCTGCCTTACGTGTGGAGGCTTGTCGCGTCGTGACGAATGATGTGCGAAGCCGCTGTGGGTTTTGTCAGCAAATTCTGTTGACGTGGGCAGCACGCGCGGATCATTTGGCAGAGCACTTCAAGAACGGACAGCGCATGGCGGACTGGTCGGGTGATTGGGGGCTGGACCCCTTGTACCAGGCCATGTTGCGGGATGCTGTCCTGCCCGCGGATCGGTCTGTATACGTTAAGGGGGGTTCTTGACCGTCGCAGATACCATATTCCAGGTATCGTAAGCATATAAACAACATCTGCCAGTGGGCAGGTGGTTTTAGACATCTGACGGTCGGATAGAGCTGCTCTTCGAATTATCGACTCTTCGACAAGGGCTGAGGTTGGCCGTCTCCTATGAAACTCCTAACCAGATGACTATACCCAGGCCGACCACGTGTGCTGCCAAACCATCTATATCAAGCCTCCAGTGGTCTTGCCCCGGAGTGAAGATACGATCTGAGGTCTACTTGGGACGGAGCTGCATCTGAGCCTTACATGTACAGGAGCACTAGACTGGAATTTGCTCTCGACTGCCAATGCGTCGGATACTATGAAGAGATCAGCTTGCTGCACGTTCGCGGCATGTCTTGATCAACCTGTCGCGCCACTGATGCCGGCCAAAAACTTGTGTACGCTTTTGGTCTTGGTCTGAAGATATTCCAGCGTAGAGCCGGACCGTGGAGGACGTAGAAAGTATCGCATTATGGAGCTGTAAGAGCCGTGTGATAGTTTATGTATAGTACACTATCTCGATTATGGTCCAGGCGGAGCAACTATATAATAGACAATTCCTTAATGGCTGGCAGGTGGACTGCTACTATCTCTTTTTTTCATAATAGCACTAGCATACTCTATTTGAAGAAATATGGTATATCCGACCGCTGAATTCTCATGTGGGTGGAACGAAAATACTGCGCTTCTTACCAACAATGTCTCTTGGCAGGCATCATGTATGCAAATTCGACTTGGCAGCAAGACCAAACAACGCCAGCTTCGATAGACTTGGTCGTTCAAAATAGCCCTGAGGTATATACAAGTGTGGTCTAACATTGAAATAATATGGATAGTACTACACAGAGACACTGCTGAACTGTGATTCAGAGTTGTTTGGAGTTCTGTTTGTGGTCATTACCACTGCTAGTATCGACCGTTAGGGTTGGAAAATATATATAAGTACTTAATGTTTGGCACAGTCGTGCTATTTCTCTTCGCACGCTCGTCTGGCAACTACTTAGTATAGACCGACACTACGTACACTCAGCAGCAACTTTATTTCTCACAAGAATATAAATATGCCGGTACTTTGCCACTACTCCAAGCTTCATCGGTGTAGTGCGCACAATAAATAGGGTAACACAGCAGTGATGGTTTCCGGTCGGGTAATCATTTTCCCGGGCTATGCGGAGGGACGGAGCTACGCGCTGGCTACTAGTTGTGACCTTAACTCCAAGCAGCCTGATGACCCACAACAGACGGAGGCCAGACTTTCAGATCTATTGACACATCATCCACAGCATCATTCATCCCAGCCATCCAGGCAAAATCTTCGTATATACATTTGTCTACTGGAAGAATATATCACACACAAAGGGGCACCCCTAAGGCCCCCGCAGGGGGTATGCTTTTGTACAAAACCATGAGGAGAAGGAGGTATCGTGCAAGAGTCGTCATCATGAAATCCGCATCACTTTCTTCAGCCCGCGCAGGGACACGGGCTTGACCAAATACTCATCCACCCCCGCCGACAGCGCTTGTTGCTGGCGGTCTGCCGACCCCAAGCCCGTCACGGCGATGATACGCGAGGGAATGAGGCCGTTCTTCTTTTCGTATCGTCGGATGTGGTCCGTCGCGACGATGCCGTCCATCACGGGCATCGAAATATCTGTCGCATATGGTCAGTTGCAGTCCGGGTGCCGAGACACGGAGAGATGTCTTACCCATCAAGATGAGATCGTGGCGCCGAGTGGCTTCCTTGTACGTGTTCAGGGCGAGTAGTCCGTTGGAGGCAGTGTCATAGCTGCAACCAATCTTCCGAATGAACGTCGCCAGAATCTATGAACCCGGGTTAGTCATGGCATGCAAGAACGTTGGCAGGATTCTCGACAAACCTTTAGATTGATGTCGTTGTCATCTACAATGAGAACATGTATGTCCTTGGGAGCTTTACTGGGAGGATGAGAATGCGCAGGCTCCAGCGGCGTACAAGGGGAGGCGAAATCGATGGCCGAATCTGGGGCACTCGGCGGCGTCAGACTAGGCGACGCGGACAGGGAGGGCTGCAGTGGCATCGGTGCCGGCCGCGACGGCGGGCGATTGAGCACAGCCTCACGTGCTAGAGTCTGCACCCGCCGGATAGCGTCATCAAATTTCTGGGGTCCGAATCTATTCTACTGTTAGTCTGGACAAATCACGAAAGGATGTTATTAAGGTCGACGTACGGCTGAGATACCCGAACAACATTTGGAGCCAGCGCCTCGATTTGCGGCAGAGGCTTGTTGCTATCCAGTACGATGAAGTATTTGAACCCGCGCTGCACCATCGAGTCAAGGGGAGATGGTTTGTCTGGCGTAGGGTGCAAATCACCCTGCTCAACTACAGCCACGTCGCCCTGCGCGCGGTCCAAGGATTCGGCCAGTGCCAGCGTCCAGCCCGGTTGCTGAACGAGCACCGAAGTCAGCGAGCTCCGAATGGCCAGCTTGCGTTTGGCTTCGGCCGGCAGGATGCCCGTGGGGATCTCCCGCGGATTGGGATAACCGTCAAATCCAATCAAGCAGGCTGCCATAGGCGGCAACGGCGTGGCGAGTTCGTCCGGGCTGCCGCGACGGGATGCCTGCGCCGCGCTAGGATGCACGGGGATATAGATGTCAACCTGTGTGCCTACGCCGACTTCGCTGCGTACGTCGATGTGGCCTTCTAACGAAGCAACCAGCTGGCGCACAATGCTGAATCCCAGCCCAAGACCCTCCGATAAAGCGTCCTCCTGCGTAAAAGGAGAGAAGAGCTTGTGTCGGAGGAAGTCTGGACTGATACCCGAACCCGTATCAGTGACCGACAGATGCGCCAAGACTGTGTGTGGGTTGGACTCGCGACGGGCCTTGGAGAGCGACACCTCGACAAAACCTGCCTTGGTCCACTTCAACGAATTGCCCAACAGGTTCATCACGATGCGTCGCCAGGCACCAGCTACCGACTGTATCCTCCACGTGCTCCGCTCCTGTACACGCACCACGACTGTGAGTTCCCCATCCGGCCGTGTAGAGGTCGGCTGTGCTGGGCGTCCCGTCAAGGGAGCCACTGCTTGGGCCAATCGCTGGCCCGTGTACTGAACATCCGTGACTTCTTCGATGAGGTCGTCGAGGTCGAACACGGTTAGAAGGTTCGTCACGCTGGGTTTGGACTGGTCAGGGCTGGCCTCCTCAGTCGTCGTCAAGTTGTTGATCTTGGCGAAGTCCAAGCTGTTTGTGATTTAGCAGGGGGTAGTGTAGTAATTCATAAACTGGCCTAGAAACTTACAGGTGGTTCAAGGTGTCCAGCAGAGTCAATCCACAGCTCTTGACCATGTTCATCCAGTGCGCCTGACTCGAATGCAGTGGGGTTGTCTGCAGCAGTTCTGCGCTGGCCAGGATGCCATGCAGTGGCGACCGCAGCTCATGGCTAACGGAGGAGATGAAATCCGACTTGGACTGCTGGGTGCTGGCCCAATCCACGCGGGCTACCTCGGAGATGATGGAGTCTCCGAACACTTTAAAGTAATGTAGCTCGTCGACGCCCAGCGCGCGATTGCTGGCCTGGGTCCAGACCAAAGTACCCGCCAGCCAGCGTGATTGGTTCCAGTCCCACAATGGGTAGAAGAGCACACAGTAGGCATCGGGGAGATGCTGGCGCAGTCGACGGCAGATGTTGGACATGGTATGATCTCCTTCCGACCGCTCCTCTAGCGAAGGCGACAGAGATTGGCCACCCTCCTCGTCAATCCAGTCCTGCAGATTGAAGAACTGACCATGGGGGAAGGCGGCGATCATCTGGTTGAGAAGAGCCTCCGTGATGGGTTGGTTGGCGCTCACCTCATCCTGTTGGGCGCTTCCTAGCACCTCACACGGCTTCTCTGATATGTTGGAAAGGGAGCCCACGCCGGGCAAGTCGACTGGACTGGGGTAGGGATCGGCGAGGAACTCGGGATTGGCGGTGGTGGGGAGAGGCTCCCAGGACCCGGGCTGGCCGGGGCGAACACTGCTTGTTTCGTTAATACGCCTCTGCGACCCTTGGGTTGGACACGGTACTCACACTCCGGCGTTACACCGACTGGCATCCAGGAACACCACACCATCCAGATCCATCGAGTCGCGCAGGGTGAGGCTGGCGCGGGTGAAGATGCGAGATAGGCTTTCGGAGCGGGCCTCGCGTTCGATGACTGAGACGACCGGATATTCGGTGTGGTCGGACACCACGACGCTGGAATCGTGCGTCTCCGAACCGTCGGGCGGAAGGACTTCATCCGGGACGGCGACCGGGACGGGGCGTGGACCCGGTACGTTCACGGAGGTCGAGGTGGCGGTGATCTCGGAGCAAGTGACGGCGGAGAATAAAGAGGTTAATTCGCCCGTCATTTCGGAGGATGCGGACTGGAGCTGCGTGGGAGGCTCTCGCAACGGGTCGTCGGTTAACGACAGGGGCTGCGGGGGTGCAGGCTCAGTGCTGGGCACCAGCGTAGGCCCATGGCTAGGTCCAGGCACATCGGTCGGATCGAAGGCGGGATGGTCTTTCACGAAACTGGTCAGACCCTTGACAAGACTCTCGGCGCGGCGATGCGAATGGGAGATGCGAACGTGTTCGAGGTGCTGGGTGACGGCATCGGCCACCTCACGCAGGGAGGCGATCTCTCGATCCCCAAAGTCGGAACGAGGCTTATCGTCAATGACGCAAAAGGAACCGAGAACATGACCAGCGGGACTGTACAGCGGGACCTCGGCGTAGAAGCGGAAATAGGGCCATCCGGTGACATAGGGACGATCTTTGAAGAAGTCCTCCTGGGTAAAGTCTCGGACGACGTAACGGGAGGTATTGGCGGTCACGTTGATGGAGTCGACGACCTTGGAGGGATCCTGGCCGGTGAACAGGGCAATGGAATGAGGACAGACCCCCCAGACCAGGTCGAGGGTGCGGACCCCCAGGTAGATGCCATCATCGGGGTCATGCTGATCCTTATCGCGCAAGGAGATGGATTTGGTGGCTTCGGCGATCAGATATTGATTGGAGCCGTCGATGATGGAGATGAAGGCGCGGTTGCAGGAAAAGCGAAAGACAGCCAGCTGAGCCAGCGCCGTGAGAGTGATATCGGACGACAGCCGGACGTCGGGAGTGGAGGAGGAGGAGGAGGAGGAGGTATCCCCATGGGCGGCAGAGTGAGTCGCCTCCTCTGCGGCCGCTTCCAGACGGAGGGCGGGACGATCGACGGTGCAATAGTACCTAGCGCGACGACGGTCAGACTGTGTGATAATATCGCAGTGGAATTGGAAAAAAAGGGTGGTTATGATCGACGTTGCAGAGAGGATCAGATCAGATCAGATCAGAGCTGATCTTTGATCTGCTCTAATCCTGTCGGGGAAAAGGCGGAGAAAATCGGATTAACTTACCGGGACAAGTCTCTAATTCTCTCCCGCTCAGCCTCAGGGTGCTGGAAGGAGGCCGCCATCACTCACGGGACGCTGCTGGCATATCGTAGGATAAGGAAGGGGAGGAGAATGGGAAGGGAAACCGAGCAAGATGAAGGTGAAGGAAAAATAAAAAATAAATACAAAAACAAGCCGCCACAGCCGGAAAAAGCAAACGAGGGAAGAAAGAGGGAGAAAAAAGAAAGATGGTGGCCAAACGAAGGAATGTGGGGAATTAGCGGCAGGGTGAGGAATAGCCTACTAGAGGGGAGGGGAGGGGGGGAGAAGTATAGAAAGAGGGAGAAGGGGAAAGGAAACAAGATGGAGAGAGAGAGAGAGAGGAAGAGAAAGAGGGTGAGAGGGACACAAGAAAGGAAACTCGGAGATAGCAAGCCGACTTCATTACCTGCTAACTAGTTAGTAGTTTAGTACTGTTAAGATACTTACTGCTACGACCAACATCCAGTTGGAGCAGGCAGTACTAAGCGACGTGTGACTGGCTGGCGTCCGAATCCGCCGCTGAGAATCTCCCACCCGCCAAAACCGGCTTTTTGCGCCGTCCGCCTGCCTGCTCATTGGCGGCCCGCCCCGCTCTCCCCGCTGGGCCAGACCCCCGTCGACCTTCCACTAGTCCCCTTTCAGCATGGACGCCGTTGGGCCACGGCTGACTCATCTGCCGCCTGACGTCTCGGGCTTCCAGCCGATTAGCCTGAGGCAGCAGCTGGCCACAGGTGATTCAGGCACCCGATAAATTGGGACGGGGCCCGATTGGAATCTCAACCATCCCGAGCCCCAACCCTGCATCCTAAGGCAGGAAAGATGCTGTCATCACGATTTATTCTCTGCACTAACTATACTATACTCTGCATAGAGCACATATGACGCGCCAGGCGTAAAGTAGGCTGTTAGGCGCGGACCCGCCGATCGGAATCCCGACAAGCTTCCCAGATCAACCATCGATCTGCCTCTCTTCCCTCTCCGATCGAACAGAATTCGATCGGATATGCAAGTCGGAGGGTGGAACCCTCCCCTCGTGCGAGTTTAACTTAAAAGATACCATAACTTCGAAGTGCGATCGACCCGATCGGGGAGGACAGCAGGAACTTAATAAAAATAAATGACCGGGGCGGAATGTGACCTCCGCCCAAGCCCGCCGTCAACCAAACCACCGATCCGCCCACCACCGCCTTGCCGCCTCTCCGCCCTCTTCTGTGTTTACTACTTCCCGAATGGGTCTATACGCCTGACAGAATAACTGCACTGAACTTAAATTATGTGATACTAGTCCTCTTGTGACGGCGACACTTACCACCCTAATTCTTATCTTGCATGTGCTCGAGGGATTGCGCCATTGTTGATTTCTAATCAATCTTCCCCCTCCGCATTTGTAAAACACCATGATGTATTATCAATCCCTACAATGTCTCTAACTATATATTATGCATCATGCATCACCGACAGGGGGAAGAGACACCCATGGTTGTCTTAAAACATCACACAAATACATCTGCAGTTCCATTCCTCCTGCCAATATGTCCACTACCCCCCGTCGCACTGGTCTAATCGGCTTGTCATCCTCCGCCATCACCTCCTGGGCAGCCGATGCCCACCTGCCGGCAATCCGGAGTACTGCAGGTCGAGAGCTCTACCAGATCACAGCTCTCTGCAACAGCAGTGTGGCCGCTGCAGAATCCGCCATCCGGACCTACCAGCTGGACCCGACCACCGTGAAACCTTATGGCAACCCAGATGATCTGGCCGCCGATCCCGCCATCGATCTCGTCATCTGCAATACGCGCGTCGACAAGCATTACGAGACCGTACTGGCCAGTGTCCGCGCTGGCAAGTCCGTCTATATCGAGTGGCCCATTGCCAGCTCGCTGGCCCATGTGGACGACCTGCTCGCCGTAGCGCGTGCTAGTGGGGCGCGGGTGGCCGTAGGCCTCCAGGGCCGCTTTGCTCCCGCCGTGCTTAAAGTCAAGGAGGTCCTGCGCTCTGGCCAGCTGGGTCGCCTGCTGAGCACAGAAGTCCGTGGCTTTGGCGGCACGTTCGATCGAGATTTTCTGCCCCCGGGTCTGAAGTACTTTTCGCAGAAGGAAGTGGGCGGCAATCCCATCGTCATTGGTTTTGGTCATAGTTCGTCCTTATCCCCCTCATCTTCTCTGGTTCTAGCCCTTTGCGTTGAGCTCAGAGTTGCTATAGCAGACTGGCACTGACATGAGGATAGTGATTGATTATGTCCAATCCGTCGTGGGGAATGTGGTTGTCGGCACCGATGAAGCGCGTACCCAGATCCAGCGGCCTCGTATTCGCATTCGTGATCCCCAGACACGGGAGATCGTGGAAGAGGTTGACTCAGATGTACCGGATTTATTGAGTGTGCATGGTATGACCTGGAGCCTGCCGCATTGCTACGAAATGTTGCATAGTACGCTAACAGGCGACAGGGTCCCTACCTGAATCACCCTATACAGTCCCCGGGGCCAGTCTAGTGGCATATTTTGCGCGAGGTCAACCTTTCCCGGGTGACCCATCGCTCTCGTGGACGCTGAACTGCGAAGCGGGAGCCATTCGTTTGTCGGCGCCTGCAGGGATATCGCTGCAGGCGGACGCGTACCAGAACCCAGCGACCATTTCGGTTCACCACCACGCCACGGACACAGTGGAGGCCGTGGAGTGGTCGTGGTCGGAGGAGCAGCTGGAGGTGCCGGTCAGGGCCCGTTCTGTCCAGCGGACCCTGATCGATTTTGCCAAGGGCAACCCCGACGGTTACGTGTCGTTGGAAGACGCCGCCGGTCGGGCCAGGCAACTGGCTCGGTGGTTGGATGGCTCTAACAAATGATTTTTCTCAGTCGGTGGACGCACTTGTCGATGCTGATGCATAGGTGTGGCCCAGATGAGTGCATTACGTAGCTCAGATTAAGACTGTTGTGGATAGTGTTCAATCCTATTTAATTTCCAAGTTCTTTTGTGATTTATAGGTATTGGTCATGTGCGATTCGATATATCTGGCTTACCTGCTCGCTGCAAGTAAATAAAGAGGACCTTCTGTTTCGCGTTCCCCTTGTCCACAGATCACGAAGATGAAAAAAACACTCAAATGGCACCTAATTAGGAGTCCTAGGTAGACAGCCTAAAGAGGAATAGAAAAAAAGATGTAAAATCTACCTGAGCGGCTACTCACCCTACTCCAAGCGATATTACCCGAATCCTAGCTCTATCGTACATCTTACATGTTCAGAGCAAAGTAAGATGTCCCAATCTGCTCCTGGGACCAGCTCCTCATGAACCCCTCCCAATCTACTGCCTTGACATCCGGGTAACGGGCATTGTCCAGCTCGGGCCCAACAAAGGTCTGTCCATTGACCCAGTAGTAGTAGAAGAACCTATAAAAGTAACCCTCGGTTAGTCGAGATTGACAGGAGGAAACAGGGAATTGAAAGTGTGGACTTACAAAGACATATAGCTGTAAATGTCCTGAGGGCTCTTCGTCCGCTTATCATGCATGGTCTTGTACAGGTCCTCGAGGGATCCGCGGTTTTCCAGTGTAACAGGAGTGCCGTAGACCTTTTCATACGACTTGGCAATCTCCTGGATCGTAGCACGGCCTCCGACAACTAAAGGCAAGAAGCCCATTCATTAGCACTAGTTCTCAAGAGGAATATTGGATTGACGACTTACACTTCAGCACACCCTTTGCTTCCGAATCCAAGACCACCTTTGCCGTGTACTTGGCCGCATCGTCGTAGGTCGTTCCCTCCATGACCTCATTCCCATCACCCCAGTACCGGAAGGTGTTGGTCTGAACATCCACAATGTTGAAGAAGGGACTGAAGATGGGCTCCATGAAGCCACCGATGAGGATATGCACTCCCGCAACCTTCTTCGTATCGAGGTAGTTCTTGACGTGGATCATGGGATCCTTGGGGAACAACTCGCCCACCTTCAACTTGGTGTAATCCAACGCCCAGTCGCTGGCCACATAGCGTGGAACATTAGCCGATTCACAAGCATCGATGAGAAGCTTCTGGCCATCCACCATGAGCTTGTCATCGCCCAGGTAGCAGCATACGACGACATCGCAGCCTTGGACGAACGTGGCAATGGCGTCCTGATCAAACGCCGTACCTTCAATTATCTCCAGCTTGGGGGACAATTTCACGGACTCGGGGAGTTTTGAAGGGTTGCGACAGAACCCTTTAATAGTCAGGGAGTCGTCACCAACATCGAGGAGGTGGGTGAGAAGGCGGCGGGCAAATTTGCCCGTGATACCTGCAATGCCGACCTTCATTTGGAGTTTTGTTGAATGTAGATGATAGCTTAATTGGAGAAGTGTGTATGTGTAAAGAAGAAAATGTTCGATTGTGCGGTATAGTTCAGAACGTGCTCGAGACCCTTATATGAAGTACACATGTGGTTTGTAAAGCTGGCGCCACCCGGCCACTATATCAACTCCGAGCTGATTCATGAGTTGCAGGCATGGACTACCAAACTCAAATCGCAAAGCTGGGTGGAACCGATACCTTGGTACCCACATGAAATGCTCGGCTCCAACAAGGTTCAAGCGGACTGCGAGATGTCGTGAATTCGGGTTGTGTATAATCTCGGGCCTGAAATGAACCCCGAGATGGCTGTGGTAACGTAATATACCGGACGTTAATAATACGGTAATTTGGATGAGGCCGAAACTTTATCTTGCCCATAAACCAAATCTGCATCTGCGTTACAAAGTATTATAAGAGGGGTTCATGGGTGGATGAATCAATTTTCCATTAATGAATTGAGTTCGTCTTGCCTGTCACCATGACTGCTGTTCTTATTACTGGTGCAACCGGCAAACAAGGGGGTGCCCTCATCAGGAATCTACTTCTCCGGAAGGCTCCCCTGGAGATCCTCGCCGTCACCAGGAACACCTCTTCCGCGTCTTCCCAGAAGCTGGCTAGTTTGTCTCCAAATATCAAGTTGGTGGAGGGTGACCTTGATAACCCGGGTGCCATCTTCCGCAATGCTCAACGCTTAACGACCTCGCCCATATGGGGAGTATATAGCGTGCAGGTAGGTTAATGGACCTGTCTTTGGTCTACATAGATCGCTTTTATTGACTGCTTCTCGACAGGCCGCAATTGGCAACAAGGCGGAAGAAACGCAAGGAAAGGCGTTGATCGACGAGTCTATCCGACAAAAGGTCAAGTTCTTCGTCTACAGTTCCGTTGACCGCGGCGGCGAGGAGCACTCGTTCAAAAATCCCACCAAAATACCGCATTTCATCAAGAAACATAGTATGAACACCACCTGGTCAACCGCAGCAAAGATGGCAACATGGACTGGGTGATCCTGCGCCCGGCCGCCTTCTTCGAAAATCTGAGTCCGGATTTCTTCGGCAAGGTTTTTACCACATGCTTCAAGATGGCATTGGCTGGAAAGCCGCTGCAGCTTGTCGCCACAAGCGACATTGGATACTTCGGTGCTGAGGCTTTCCTCAACCCGGACAAGTACAAAGGGAGGGCCATTTCCCTTGCCAGTGATGAACTCACCTTTGAAGGTATGGGGTTGATCTTTGAACAGAAGACTGGACAGCCACTGCCGATGACATTCCGCCCGGTATGCTCGTTATTTATGGCCATGATGAAGGATATGGGATACATGTTCCAGTGGTTTCGAAACGAAGGATATAGGGCTGATATTCCGAAGTTGAGGGAGATCCACCCGGGAATGATGGACTTTGCAACCTGGTTGAAGAAGGAGAGTGGATTCAAGAAATAGCCGGATCTGGAAGGCACATGTGATGTACAGTATCGATAGTGTATAATAATCTACCCAACAATATTAACCAAATAAAGGCAATTGTGAAATAGCAGTTATCAGAAATGTCTTCGTTTACCTTCAGTGTAATGATCAGAAAAGAGATGATTAGTACACATCTATTTCGGGAATGGTATCTATGACGCATATCGTACATCTATCGTCTCACCGACCGGCTTAGCTCTTGGTATCGACTTTCCCCTGTCAAAGCTCATCATGTCTAGTCTTTGCACTCTCGCGCATGGACAGCAGATTCTCCCTCCGCGTCCACGCCAGCCTCGCCGCACCCTCCGCCACCATAGTGATATCCTTTAACGAACCGACAATAGGAACGCCATGTCCGATAGCCTCCTGCACAGCACGGTGCACAAGCTCTCCATCGAAGTAATCGGTCAAGATAATTGCGTAGTCCACTCTCTCTTGTTTTGCTGCGTTTCTCGTTTCGTGTGGTTCTGTAGGAAGTCAACACTGATACTCACACGGGGCTAAGTGGTCCATGAGACATACCTGACATAGCTTGCAAATAAACTTGAATATTATTTGCCAATGTTTCCATGTAGTTATTCTCGACTGCCGTGATCTGGCTACGCGTGAGAACCAAGTCGGGGATGTTCCCATGCGTCCACCAGGAATCTAGATTTAGCGGAAGATCGTTGAGCTTCTCCCCGTCTTCATGATCTCTGTTACCACCGAGCTGATCCTCCAGCAATGGCTCGAGTCCCAGCAACAGCTCCACTGCCGGATCATATCCCTTTAACGTCAACCTTGTCCTCAGCACCGCCTGTATCAAAAATCCGTTATCACGGCCCTGAACAACCAGAGTTTTCAACTGAGCATCACCGTCAACAAGCTCCTTCACAAGGCGGTACTGAATCCTATCCCCACTCCACGGATCTAAAGGAAGATACGGATACACTGACTGGCCCTTGCGGCGGCGCTGTGGCGACCCGTCGTACAACTGAACACCACAATGGGTTTCTCCCTGGTGAACAACCAGGACACGATCGTTCTGGTCGATCGTCGGATTGAGGTAGTGCGTGCAAAAGGAGCGCGGGGGGACGGCACCCTCAAGGATGGTGATGCCTGCCTGCTGCCCGGCTCGAATCACTGTTTCTCTCAGCGTGTCGTTGAAGAAGTCGGGCACGCCGACCACGGCCCAGGTCACGTTGACGCCGTGAGCTGCAAGGGAAGTAGCCTTGAGCTCGGCGAGTACTTCTGTGAATGTTTCCGTGACGTCGGATGGAGACAGCTTCTTCTTGATCAGGCCGCGCGAGATGAGGAAGGACTTGACCTTTCGTTGGACAGAGACGGGGATGATCCCGTAGACAGTGTCAGATATCGAGCGGATCGAGTCTTGACTCCAGACGACGTATGCGTTGCTGCTGATGGAGACTCTAGCATCGATCACTTCGAACAAGCTCCACATGACGCTGGTCAGGAGCGCCAGCGGGGTCGACCTAGATCCGCTTCTCAGCTTCCCAAGCCCGGATCGCTGAAAGTGGTCCATGGACAATTCTTCAATCTGCCGCTGGTACTCTTTGTGATTGACCACCCCTAGTAGGGTAAAATTGTCTATAGAATTTGCGTAGGAGGCAAAGACAAAACGATGGCCGAGGTCGATGCCAATGGGATCGTTGGGAGGAGCATTGTCGCAGGTCTCTTCTGCCACAGCCGCTGCGGAAACGCACCACCACAACAGGGCCAGAAGGAGTTGCGAGAGAAGCATATTAAGAATGAAAGAATCTTATTTTTTCCCCTTCATATTATTTTTCTCTTTGCGGGTGGCGGGAGGTTAGCCTCATTTATAGCGAAGAAGGTGGCCAGGCAGAATCGGAGCTAAAGTCCATCGTGCCTGAACAAAGTGGATCCAATCCCTCAGGGTCTGCACCCAAACAGGACTAGCCCGTACTAGATGTCAGCAAAATCTATGCTCCTGGACATGCCGCATATTTTCAACGAACATCGGTTTGGAAGGTGACAATGAGTTCAGAGCTCTCTGGATCTTCTCATTAAATGATATTGAATGGGAGCTGAATTATGGGCCATCTCAAAGCTGCCTATAGCCACTGAGATGATGTCGTCTGAAAGATAAAACGTGGTGCACCATAGTGACTACCAAAGATAGTAGCCAGCCTAATAAATAAAAACTCAAAAGTGCCTCTCATCTACTGTACTTAATTTGGGAATATAGAAAATAGGGTCGTGAAAGATCCCTACCCCGGGCCTTGCCCACATTCGTCCTCTTTCGTTCGCAGGTTCTTTAATCTTAAAGCAAGTTTTTCATAGAGCAATGAGCCTATCAGTATTTAGGATCCGAGAAGAAACACCCAAGCGGCACCGAGCGATGGGCCAACTTTGTCAACTCAAGGTGTTGTTCTCTCTCACACACAAGAGGACCAGAATCCTAGTACTACGGTTTGTGCATCTCACAGTCGGACTCGCAATCAGTCTCACATCCTTTCAGATGCCGGCGGAGACTGAGCAGCCCGCGGGCATCCAAGTAGTCCGGCCAGCTCGCGTACCAGTCCAGAAACTCAGGGATCGAGTCAAAGCGCGGCTTCCGTCCATAGAGCACCTGTGGCTGCAAGATGCCCTCCTCCTCCATGAAGACCACACGCCAACCCCACTCCCGGATATTGGGGGCGTCCTGGACACCTTCATCCTGGTAATGGATCCCCTCCATATCCTCATCTGGACTCTTCCGGCAGTAGAGATACGCACTGTACCATTTCGGATACTCCCCGACGTAGCCGGTGCCCATGACCACGCCCGCCCGGACATCCAGATCCACATCTGGGGAGGCCGGAATCTGGACCTTGTTGATCAAGTCCGTATACTCCCCCTCCAGTCGCTCCCGCAGCCACACACATTCCTGGCGTACACATGCATGGTACTGGTCCCGCTCCTCCTGTGTGTCCAAACAGGGGAGGGTGCCATATCGCTGCTGTACGAACAGCCCTGCCTCCAAGGGGGCGATGCCCGAGTGGCGAAAGTCCGGGTCTTTCACCTCGTGGGCATACGCCAAAAGCCGGCCCAGCTCCTCACAGCGGGGGATCGGCTCCGAGGCTAAATCCTCGCCCTCGGCGGCCGCCCACTCCTCCGCTTGCCGTTGGAACACTTCCTGCAGCGTGTCGAGGAAGATCTGGCGGGCTTCCGGCGTGCAGAGCAGCGGCGGGTGGATCCCGTCCAGGGCGAACAGGGGGTGGGTGTCCTCGGCCAGCAGCGCGGGAACTGCTGCCAACTCCCGCGTCTGCCGGAACCGGTTGCTTATGTGGCGTGCGTCGGGGTCGTTGTCACTGGCTGGTTCGTCTTGGTCTAAGTCTTCGAAATGGCGCCACCTCTGAATCATACGAATTCTCTCTTTCTCAGTTGCGAGTCCGCGGGCGTCGATCTCATCAATGCGGTCCTGGATGAACTGTCGGTTGGCTGCTGCCATGCGTGCGCGGAACCGATCAACGGCCTGCCGCATGGTTTCGTCCACGTTAAGAGGTGGCGGGTTGGTGCTGGACGGACCGTTCGTTGACATGGTGAATTACACGCCAAACTTCAGGCGAAATGAGACTTGGAAAGAAAAATCAAGAATGAGTGGAATAAAGGGAGGGAGTCTCAGGGACAAGAAACTCTGTAATATAGCCTTCCTGATCACGTGCTGGGAGCCCACCACTACTTTTTGATTCTGAATTCAAACTTCTATATGTATTTACCGCGAAAAGAACAAGGGAAAAATAAAAAGGGGTCGCGGGCGGGGGGTGGCGCGAGGGCGAATTGAAATTACCGTTATTCTTACGGTAAGGCACACCTGCTGCAAATTGGAGTTGGGAAACTACTACTATCGAACATATCCGCTACCGCCCCACTTTCCACTTCCAATGATATATTGGAATGATAAATCAACTCCAAAGGTATATGATATAGATGAAAACCACGGCGAAGACGCCCCAAATATGTACAATTCACCAATGAAGCAATGCGAAGCAGTGCAACGAAGCCAGTATAACTTTATGAGACCAAGAGCTCTTTACCGAGGTAGTATGTCACGCAACCATTTGGGCCTGAGTAGACAAATGTCCCGCCATAATAGTCAGGATTCACGGTGGGGTCGTCGCATGAATCCAAGATTTCTTGGATCCAGGTCTCACAGGTCTGAGTCATTAGGAAATCGACCCGGGTGTGGCAGCCGGTCTGGTCAGCGGCCCAGGCTGCGCTCGCGACGAGGTTAGTGTTAGGATGGGTCCAGATTTTGGGATCATCGTCGACGTGCAGGGTCTGGCCGGCGCACAGCCCCAGCCGCGCCAGTTGGTATTCACCCAATGTAAAGCTCTGGTGCTGGTGATCCTGTGCTTCCGTTTCGCGGAAACAGAGTGGTTTGGTGTCTGGGGGAATGGTGGGTAAGGAGGTTGTGGAAGTAGCAGTGGTGCTGGTGCTGGGATGGCTGGCCATGCTGGTACTGACAGCAGTGGGCTCATCGCTCCCTGCACCAGCAGGGATTGGGGCGGGACCTCCTAGAAGGTCACAGTCAGAGCAGGGCTCCATCTCCGAGTCCAACGGACAGCCCAGGACCTCGGTATAGACCCTGGAGTCAAGGAAGCTGATCCCAGAGAAGTCGGTGCGACGCGATAGTCCGGGGATCTCGTGTAGCTCCTCCCCGGTGCTCATGGACGCATTGTAAGAAGTGAATCTCTCGTCCGAGACTTCCTCTGTAGGTTCAGTCACGCTCAAATCGCGCTTGCGTTGATAAGGAAATTGTTTAATCGGGGGGGCATCATAGATGTAGTGGCTGCCATCTGGCTTGGGTACCACTGCTTTTGGTGTGCCAACCGTCCGAGTTATTCCAGCCGTATCCACGAACTCGAGGTCCCAATATCCGAACGGAAACTTTCCAATGTAGATCTTCTGTCCCGGCCCCGGAGGCGAAACCTTGTTTACAGGAAAAGAAGGAGGAAATTGAGGAGGCATGATCGACGTGACAGCCTTATATACCGGATTGGGAAGTGCCAAGCTGGCAGGATCCCAACTCAAAGTGTGAGCCCATTTGCGGTTTGGATGAGCAGGGTCATCAAACCATAGGTCCCATTCTTGCATGTTGGTATACCCCGCCTTCGCGGCGGCTTTTGCATCACCTTCAGATACCCGATTGACCAATATGAAGCTTGGTCCATATGCTTGGGCACATTTATTGTCGCAACTCATCCACTCACTAATGCAATAGTCCGTGGGCAATGCTTGACCCGAACCACTCGAGACCTCAACACCTAAACTTACTAGTTAGTCCTGCTTCCCACCAAATGATTAGAATCATGGGCAGACCGACAATAGGTAGGCTTTTTGATGTTCAAGACTTTATCGAGATAATTAATGAACCTTCGCAGCTCCGAGCCATGGTTGCTATTCTCATCCTGAGGGATCAGGCGTAAGGTCGGTCGATCGTAATAATTGGCTATTTGTTTGGGTCCAGAGACGCTGTTGCCGAACGGATACTCTTCCACTTCGCAGCCTTTATGGATGGACTATCAGTATAGCGCAGCAAGATTGTAAACGTGAGGTTCAGAACTTCTTACTCACCCACGAGACCCCATCCGGTCCTGGGTTTCACAGTACCAGGTTTCCCAAACGCACGTACATCGTTGCGCTGAGCACCCCCTTCATTTTTATCGAGTCCATGCGTTTCCAACCATCGGGCTGTATCATGGACCGAGTTCCCGCGATATGTGAGTATGGAAGGGGCATTCTTCTTGTCCATGGCAGAACGAGCATTATTGCACACATTTGGCCATCTGTCAACGTCGCAGTGAAAAATCGCGTCGCACTGGTCATTTGGACCGGGCGGCTTGTACGAGGCCGGCTTAGAACATGCTTTCTTGCCACGCTTCGCCAGTCCCTCGCCACATTCGTCCGCGTAGCAGTCAATTTCATCCAGAACGTCGTCGAGATTGTTCATTGCATCCTTCTGGCACTCCGTCATCTGATCTTGGGCCTCACTGGCGGGAAGCTCGCAGGTGATCTCTCCAGTGGTAGAGTCCCAGAAAGGAAAATTGCCATTTCCACAGGTGCCTTGTTCGCTGCTCGGAGCATCGCTGCCATCAGCCGCACATTGCCCCGGGTTATCGGGATCGGTGGGACTGGTAGAACCGGTGCTTGAGGTGGAGGACGACCGATCTCCTCCGCATGCACCGTTCCCACAGGGCGAACAGTTTTTCTTATAGCATGGAGGATCAGTGTTGGGAAGCGATATCGGAGGAATTTTCAGTGGGTCTGTCCCAGGCAAGCACATCCCGGCAGGGAGGGTGATGGAGGACGGCAAGGGCACATGAGGCAGGAATGTGGTCAAGGGAATTCCCGACCCGATGGACCGGCATGTTTTGCGGGGCTTCCGAGGGCCATTGTCATCGTTGTTTGATCCTGAGCCGTTGTCATCAGAGCCGCCAGTGACCTTGGAACCGGAAGAGGAGGTGGTCACAGTGGCAGTAGTGACGATAGGAGTACTGGATGTTGTCGTAATCGACTGACCATCCGGATTGATCTCGGTGACTGGGAACGCCGAGTATGAGGTGTAGGTTGTGGTAAAGGTTGTAGTGATGATTGGGGCCAAAGTAGTGCTGGTAGTGGTGGAGGTGGAGCTGGGGTTTCCGAACACTTCATCGGGGTCATAGTCACCAGGAATGGGGATAACAATGGGAATATTTGGCAGGAAGCCGGAGGGGAGCGGAATCCCCAGCGGCAGCACTACTCCGGGCGGAACCTCTACCGGATTGGTCATGTTCCCACCCTGTCCACAGCAGGTACCCGTCAGAAGACGGAAGAAGTCACAGACCTCGTTGCACACTGCTGGGGAACCGGCCGGGATGTTGTTGCTTGAGGCGTCCGGTCCAGTTGTAGGAAGGCCAAGGATACCGTCTGTGCACGCGGCAGAGAGGGTAAAGGTGGCCGAGGGAGCGAGGGAAGTGCAAGGAAGTGGTTTGATATTTACCGTGTCCGGCGTGGCCCCATCACTACTGCCGTATGGATTTGTCGCGCATGCTCCGTCGGGACAATACCCATGGCTGCAGGTGAACTCACAGAGGGGCCCGTATACAGACGCGTCCAGTCCCGTGCCTGCATAGCCGCTCACATTCTGTGTCGGAGGAGGCAGCACCAGGGCTCCCTCGCCCGTACACGTGCAGGCGTTGATCGGGCAAAAGCCGTATGTACAGCTGAAACTACAGAGACCTGCCAGGTTCCCTTCCCCCGTTCCACTGACACACGCCGGGGGCGAGAAGTCCGACACCGTGGGGACCGTCAACTCAACCTCAGTGGTACCACACGCCTCTGGGTCACAATCACCGTAGTTGCAGTTGAAATCACACAGGCCACTGTAGCTCGCGTCTTCACCCGCCAAGGGATAACCTTTGACTCCCGTGGGCTTGGGCAAGGGTCTCTGTTCGCCCATAGCGGTGCAGACACAAGCACCTACCGGGCAATATCCATAAGAGCAACTGAATCCACAGAGTCGCGCAAATTTATTCGGTCCGGTCCCGTTGACGCAAACTTGCTCACTGATCCTCAACTCCGGGGTGGCAGAAATGGTGGTGTCTGCGAATATGGTCCCTACCCAAGGATTCCAGTTCTGGATGCCACCCAGACAAATAGAAGTATCAATTGATTCACCTTCCATCGATGCAATGACAGCACCATTACGCGAGATAGTCACAACGACCTGGCCAGTATTCCCATTGAACGGGACACTGCCATGATAAATGCCAATCCCGCCATCTGGAGCATCAGACCAGCTTCCTTGCTGGACGACTCCTCCGATGCTCACAGAGACATCGGCCGGAGATCCCAAGAGAGCTGAGTAAAAGACCCTATCCTTTAGGATCTCTGTCGGGGGGAACTCGATCTGGAATTGGGATACGGTATTGCCGCTGGTTCCACCGTTGGTGCAAGCTGCAGCTGGGGCTCTGCGAAACCAAACCTGGACGCCTTCTTTTGTGATCGTAGCCGTGCCCGTTTTATAAAGACTAATCAGGTAAGGCAAGAATGATCGCCAATCGTCATGTAGATAGCCGGCAGCGTAGTTGTAAGTCGCCTCACCAATATCGAAAGCAGCGTAGGCATTCTCGTGCAAGGGCCCGATGTAATGAGACTCGCCATAATCATTCCATGAGATGATTTCAACCCACTCTGGTTTAAGATACATCACTTCCTGCCAGCGGTCGAACCACAGGCGATCGCCATTCCATAGCCAGTTCTTCTTGTACCCTGGTAGATTGGTGTAGAACCAGGGTGAGACAGGCATCATGTACGGTTTTCCGTCTAGATACTGCATGTAAGAAGCATCCACATAGGTATCCATATCATTGGGTCCCCATGGCCACCCCGCCCAAGAGAATAGGCCATCAGGGGCACCTGGAGAAGCCTCAAGCGCCGCCTTGGCACCTAAGGAAGACCAGTCAGGAACGAAATAACAGCCTGTCTGCTCCTTGATATCGATCCAATCTGACGCACTTTGTGGCCCTTCGAAGGTCGACACGAAGGGCTTCCCCTTGTATTGGTAGTAGTGGCTATTCGATCCATACTTCGTGAGCAGGTCAATGACAGTGCTCTTTGGCCAGGCGCCATTTCCTGCATAGTCAAAGGAGAAGAATAACTGAAACCCCACAACGCTGGCTGCCTCAAAAGCATTAACCAAAGAAGGTTCATTTGTGGGGTCACCGTACGCCATATTTAGGGCAAAAGCATCAATATGCGCTTGCTGAGCGAATACCATATTAATTTCCCAGTCATAAGTCGTGAAGTTTTGGGTGTTAGTGACCTTGATAATCATTTGAGGTCAGCAATCGCGACCGGTTACTGTCAGATTGATCTCGGATACTTACCATGAAATGCGCGAAGACCGCCGCGGCCTGCACACGGCAGACACACAGCCATATCGCTAGAATGCTTAGGAGCAACGAGCCCTTCATGTCAAGTGCCATGGTCAGTTGACCCCAGAAACCGTTTCTGCGGACAGACTTTCGACGGAGGTTCTGACACTCTATATAGTCAAGGCTTCCGGAAACCTTCCTGTCTCTCTCTGCCCCTGAGATACTTGCTGTAAAATCTATGACCAAAGGATACTAATACATTGCCTCATAAGATCCATTTGGATATCAGCACTGATTTGAATAGCGAGCTTGATTGGGATTAGCATGAATTGGATATACCTCAATCTAAGAAAGTCTGGTATTATGGTTGTAATTAATCGCCCCTCCCCGGATACAGGACGGAGCTGAGGAGGATATGGAGTCACTTTTGGACCAGTTTCCACTTGGTAAATTAGCTCGTATTTGTGCAAACCCCACGACAGGGTAAGGTCTATCTAACCCCGGCTGAACGTGGGATGATTAGCAGTATTACAGGAAGCTTGTCTACGTCGATAGGCTGGAAGCCAAGTCTGTTGTGAGACTTGCCGATGCTTTTGCACTTTTAATATCCTTGGGATTGCGGCAGACAATTGCAGTTGAGGGATCACAAGAAGGATCATAACCATCTAATCGGAAAGGGCATGCATCAGGTTGTATCAGCGCACCTTCTGCTTATCTGGCTAGAAAGAGAAGACCGGATTCGTTAAAGCCATACGGTTATTTACACGAAGGTATTCTGTTGCTGTATATGTACCAATACATCTCAAATACTATAATTCGATCTGAACCCTGGATGAATGAGCTGAGAGCTGCTTCTGGTGGAGCCATTCATTTCAATATGGCCTATGAATTGGATCGTGTCACGATAGTCAGTGTCCATTAGGTCAAGCTAGCTTCGGACCCCGGCTCAGAGCCCTCATACAACGAACACCTGGCTAAAGTGGCAACCTAGAATCCAAAATCAAAGCATAGTTGCCTAGTAATCCAGTTTGTTGACTTGCCTAAAAGTAGTCTGGAATCTAGATAATGAATTGCCTATGAGAAGTGTCTCAGACGAAGGGGAAATTTCTGCGCACCTATACTGGGTTCGGCTTAGTGGCACTTCTTGATCAGAGGCTAAAAGCCGTTTTAGCGAAATATCCACTCCGTATGGCAAAATCCAATAGCGTCGGTTTTCATAGTAGAACAGAGTAATTTACATCCTCGTCGGATACTTCCGAACACTCTCACCCACAATTGCATGAGCGTCATGAGGTGCACCGCGCTAGAAATATTACTACTAGCACTAGGTACAGAACGGTATCAATCGATACTCTGAAATACAACCCAATGTGGGATGTTCTATATGTAGTCCAAGTACATCCTCCGTCCTTTCCGGTTTTCATATCCCTTAGCAGAAGCACCTCTACCACCTCATTTGCGAGAATGGTTTCGAGCTCGTTACACTGGGTATGGTCCATGCTTTGGACAGCGGTGGCCACCTTAATCATTCTGGGCTCATTGATTCCCGCAACCGTTCGTTACACGGACAACACCGCTGAGGTGCATCGGATCCTGGAGATATTTCGTGGCCGAGGGCAGCTCTTCGTCGAGACATTTCCACCCCTGTCCTACCATTTAGCGGCCGGTAAGAGTCAAATAGCCAATCTCCATACACTAGTCCTTGTTCCTTCGATGCTAACCTGCGGTATTTGAGTCCATGCTAGCCAACAGATCATGGCTTCTGGAGTGGATCGTTGGCGGAGCTCATACTTTTTTCGTGTGGACCATTATTTATACAAGTCATCCTGTCTGTTCGGGAGGCTCAGTCGGCACCCTGAGTGCGGTGCTCCTTTCGGCCGGACTGTATTTTCAGAGCAGTGCAGGGTATCCATACATCTACGATCGAGACGGAATAAACGCCTTGGCGAGAAGTCGGGCGTTGGGCGAGACAGTTGCCTTGTGCATTGTCCTCTGGGCAAGAACTCGGACGGGACCGCTTCGGCTACTGAACTCGGCGGGTGTGTTTGAATGCCTGCTTGTGATTTGCATGTGCCTGGGCTTATCAATCAAGGCGGGAATTTACTGTCTGGCGGTCCTCAATGTCCATCGACTTTCATGGTCATGGTCGTCGCTTGCACATCCCCAGAGACATCCAGTAGGTCTCACTTATGCTTTTGTAGAGATTAACTTACGATACAATACTAATTCAGGTACCGATGGCAGGTGAGCATAGCTTACAGCTTCGTTGCCGGGTGTATTCTGCGGGGAGTTGTGCTGGCCGCGACCCTTATAGGTATCTTTGCTCTCACGTTCCCCTTGAGTGAGACCTCATTGGGTGGCAATTATAACCTACATTACCTATCGGCTTCGCTTCGGCGAGAGCTACGCCCTTCAATGGGTGCCTATTCCCCGGGGATCTCAGAGCTGGAAGGCCGATCCTTTCCGGTACTTTCGCTGGTTCCTAGAGCTCCAATCAGTCTCTATCTCCCCCGTGCGGGTTTTCTCTGGTCCGACGAGCTTGCGTGGGATATACATTCCCATAAGTTCAATACGAAAGCAACTCCACGATCTTGGAGACAAACAAGTACAATCGATGCTGTCGAAGAACATATCGCCCATTTAAATAATAACAGTTCACGAGTCATCTTCTCTGACGAATTCAATACCGTTGGTCAATCTCCCTCCGACCTTTAACTCGTGTACTGGATGACTGATGTGTTTACAGGCCCGTGGTTCTTCGACCAGGTCCTGGCTGGTGAGTATGACCCAAACGACCCCGTTGTTGCTGCTCGTATCTGGCCGGGCCAATTAGTGTACCTTCGCCAGTTTGAAACTGGCGAATACGTTACCGCCAGCATGGATGGAGTGACCCTCAGTGACTTGTATGACAACAATCTGGACGACGAGGTACGCCGTTTGCACATTAGGTAAGTGAGCAAGCTGGATTCGTCTCTGAGAAAGACTTCGTGGTTTTTTATGGACACTGAGAAGAGTTCCTTCTGCGGTTACAGTGCAGACACACAGGCATCTGCTCTCTCAGAATGGCAAATTCTGTATGACACGCATCAAGACAAGGGTGTTCGCCTTTGGAACAAAGTAGCCAACTGCTATCTTGCCACAAGCTATCGCACCTACCCCAACATGCATGCCCGTGACTCCAATGACACTATTCTTGAGACCTTACATCTCCAGTTAGAAGCATGCTGTACCTATCCGCCTTCTCGTGCTGCCTCGACCTTTCATGTTGTTGATGGTACGCCTTTTTCTTTCCCTTTTTTGTTTCTCCTGCTCTTTCAACTGATACTGGCTACTCTCTAATTAAGGCGTGTCAAAGCCATTGCGACCATCTACTACTTGGCTACCTCCATTTACTGGACGACTGGCCCTCTACGAAACAAGGCTGCGGGCGCACGGTGCCTTCACGATCGACATGATCAGTGCGATGTGGAACCTGTTCTCTTTCCACAGGCGCCATGCACATCTACAAGACATGTCAGTGAATCTTAAAGAACTGCATATAGGAGTTCCTTACTCCGAAAACTGGAGCTACGTCTTTCAAACATTCATGATATGTGGTGTCCTGTTACATCTGGGTCACTTACTTCATGTCCAGCGAACCCACACTCCTGCGCGCAAAAGTCACCTATCCAACGAATCTGGTCCCATGCCTCAGGTACAACTTTGCTATCTGGTAGCGCACCTAGCCAAAACAGTAGTCGGTAGCGACGATCTCTGGCATTGCCATTTTGAGCTGGGCCTGGCGTGGGTCACTATTGTCGATGGTGTGAATCTTGTCGTTCATAGGAAATGACTCTCTGCTGAGAGGTGACTTCCATGGATTTTGGGCAGAAGACTGAAATACAAACCTATGTACTAATATATAAGGCCACGAGCCTATAATGAGGAGCAAAATTGAAGTTTGAAACACTATAAAACGCCCGTTTTTCATTGATGCCTGTGAGAGTGGCGCGATAGTAGAGCACTCATGCTTCCCTCTAGCGACCATCGGGATCTCGTTGAGCCATTAGTCAAATTAGCCCGCCCCAATTGAACTTCTCCGACTCATTGCCAAGGATTACTCTTTCCCCCGAGGACTATAATTTCCTTAGTGTAGTCGTGCTTATACTATCCAGGCCAGTTCCAAATCAAGTGGGTCGGAAATAAGTGGCAAAAAGGGTCTACGCTACACCTCTCGGTCATGTATGAATCGTCGTGTAATACATCGTATGCGTCATGTAATTAACCCCGAACCCGACCCTTAAACTAGCTCTGCCCTAACAGCGAGTCTAAGTCATTTTTGGAAAGTGCATATAAAAGCTAGAGAACGCTTCTCTATACTGCGTATTGTTTAGTTTTTCTCGTACGACGTAGACAGGCTGCCATATGTTTCTCAATCTCCGAAATCCGCTAGGACTCATCCTCCTGTCAAATGGCCTAGACCCCTTAATGAAAGAATTTATTTTTTTCTACGTAGTATGATCTGGCCGGCCCCTTGGTTTCTGGATATGTGTTCCCCAATTTAATAACAAGTCCATGCCTAATTCCAGGGTGTGCTGGTAGGACTAAGGTCATTGATTCTTCTTTTTCATTGTCGAAACCATCCTGCCCCCAAAAGATGATGGTCTTGTTGAAAGCCCTTAGTGTTTTGCTTGCGGTGGAAGCGGCGCAAGCATCCTCACCATCATGCACAGAAAACCTCCTCAATGATACCATCTCCTTCTTCAGCCACGCCCCCTTGACTTTCTCCTATGAGGTCAACAGCACCACTCTGTGCGCAGCTCGGTGTGCGCGAGTCCCGGCTTGTCACGCCTGGCTGTACTCTACGTCGGGTCGGGAGTGTCAATTATACCGGCAGCAGCCTGTTTCCCAGGCCTACAACCCGCAGTTTATATCCGGAATATGTGGGGAGCCGTCCAAGCGTATACCAAACTCAGCAATCTCTGCTTCCTCCTCCCTTCCCTCCCCGTTGCCATCCGCTCCTGCGGTCCGTAGGGTGAGTCTTCTTCCCCCGACTTCTTTCCTTTCTCTCCTCTTCTCTCCTCTTCTCTCCACACTTTACTTAAGGCAGATAACCCTTTACTTTGGAATCCTCGCTCACTGTTTGCAGCAGGTCTCTCACGATGCGAGCAACTCAGGATCAGCTGTGAAGCGTGACTACACTGCGCATCATCAGCATCATCATCATCACACCCACCATCGGCAACACCACGGACACTGAGATTGGGCTCGAGAAGAATGTATACTGCTGCTCAGAAGATACGCTATGATATGCGAGCCCAACATTGTGGTAGCAGAGGCCCCTAATGGAGCTCGATCTAACAACCACGCTTCCCGGAATAAATCCGAAAATTTCACGTAGCTATCGAGCAAATACGTACAAGAGCTGGTAGTTATTGTGGGCATTCTAAAACTAGAATATTCATATAAAGCATTCTTCTATTTTCGTTAATGCCATACCATTTTCTGCCATGTACGTAGTTGTCATTGTATATTTATTTCAACCAACCACGTAACGTGCAGTATTTTCATGGCCGCCATGGGTAACCTAGCCTACTTCCAAGTGAGGGAACTACTTAAATAGGACATGCAGTGACAATAATATCCAGCCATAAACTGGAGCCATAATATGGTAGAGCTATGACTTTTGCATAGCGCAGTGCGACTCGCGTTGATCTTCCCACTGAGGATTGCTGCGCGGTTTGGTTTCACTCTTCTCAATCGGTATCTTCTTATATCTCAGTCATGATACGACCTTGCTCTTCCACATTAATGAGGTTAATCTACTGTCGCACTTCGGTCTCTCGTTCGGGAAAGAGGACAGACACAACCTTCTGTTGCCGAAGATACCAGAGATACGCTACCGCCTTGGTCTTGGTATCTGGTTCCATATGCAATTGGTTTATTCGGAGTAACTAAGGTTACATGACGGTGCACATGAGCCATGCAAAGAAATCTGCGGCAATATCAAGGTCATCTTGGGATCTGAACGTCATGATTCGTCCTTGTCAGACGAAGATATTGACTATTGCGAGCCGCTTCGGAACCAGCGAATAGAGGCTGAAAAGCTGCGCGCACTCCATATGAGTCTCCAAGAGGATTACCGAGATGTGATTGTGCGATTTGGGCAACCGCAATTGTATAGACTCCAAAGCAAGAAGAGTGTCTGAAGGAAGGGAGGAGTTTCGGGTCACTCCAGAGGCTTCACCATGGCCGTGCATTTACCGCACTCAGACGTAGTAAAATTCACTCTATTATACATCCGGCACATTAGCTATCAGAGTGTCCTCCAAGGTAGACCACCCAGGCTTTTCCATTACCCTCAGTAAATCCTGCGCACGGGCATCCAACCCGATGTCATAATGAACCATCTTGTTCGCACCTGGCAGTTCGCTTGAAAATACACGATCGGGGAAAGCTTTCTGATATATGCATACGACTTCGTGCCATGTAAAAGGGTTCCCAAAAGCGAATAGGCGCTCATTCGTCACTTCCGGGTGGGTTAGACCCGCCACATGGAGAAGTGCAACATCCTTCACATCAACGCAGTAGGCGCCTGTGAATCTATGTCAGATGTATTACTCAAAACGTTGAGTTTACTGAGTTACCTGTAGGTATGATATGCTGCAGGAACGGCCAGACTTGATCAAACTGGTTACGAAAGATAGCTGCGGGCCACCCAGATGATGAGGCATGGCCCTGAGACTTAGCATCCATGGAGGCCCCGAAGCATACAGAGGGCAGGACTGAATGACAAAAGTCAGCTAATTGTCAAGACCCATACAAATAGTGCGTTTGGCTTACCCGTATTTATAACGAACCCCGGGCGATTCTCTGCTGCCCACTTCCATATCTCCTGCTCACCCAGAGTCTTGCTGGCGGCATAAATGTCGAAGCCTCTCTTCGGACTCACGGTGTTGGTCTGGCTTCTGCGGAGAGCCTCTTCATTCCACGTATCCGCAGATATAGATATGCTTGGCCCTGCTTGGTGCTCCGAGAAGGATGAGAAGGTTGCTGCCTCGGATGAGGAAGTGTATACGAATCGCTTTATTGTGTCTTCTCTGGCTGCGCTGATAAGGAGGCTTCGATTCGTACGGATAACACCTGTGATTAAGTCGAGTGTGTGGCCCAGGATGGTTGCGACGTGGGCCACGCCAGACATCCCTGTCGTTGTCGATTAGTCTTATGGAGCGAAACTGCCGAGCTGTTATGCCCGATTCACAACTGTGGAAAGACTTACCTTTGGCCGCTTGGTCGAAGGCACCAGGCGCAGTCATGTCCTCAACCCTGACTAGCTCAAATCGGTCGGCACCATATTTCTCATGGAACAAGTGTTGAATCCATCGGCTCTTGGATGGGTCCCGTACAGTTCCACGGACTCTGTAGCCCTGCTGTAGAAGTTGATCGGCCGTGTGAGAGGCCACATAGCCGTTGACACCAGTGACCAGAACCCAAGAGTCTTTCGGAATTCCAGTATTGGTGGAAGCGGGCGCCATGTTCTTTCAGTGGTAACTCATTCAAGGCGGAGGTGGAAGTGAAACGCGACCAGCATACCCTTGTTTATATATTGGATTTCACCTGGTGTATCCAATTAAGTTAGTATATGATGGCATTATTAATATGACATCTATTTCGGCCCGGAGGTTTAGATGATAAATGGTTTTGCATGATTGACTAACGGTGCTACTTTCGGGCTTCATTTCAATGCCGAACGGCAAGGGCATACATGCTTACATAATATCAAGTCTTCGTCTGAGATTAAGTGGGCTTTCTAATTCTATCTTTGACTGGGTCACGCCAATGCTTGTTAGCATACCGACGTGATGAACACGGCCTTCAATACACGCAGCTGCCGGCGTTGCAGCCAGAAGAAGATACGATGTGACAAAGCCCAGCCTTGCGCGAGTTGCATCAAGTCGGCCTCGGAGTGCGTCTTCCCAGGCCCCGATCGAGCTCCACGACGCAAAAAACGGCCACTGAAGGCACAACTGGTTTCGCGCCTGAAGTCCCTGGAGAAGCAGGTGCAGACTCTGACCGAAAAGCTGGAGACCGTGAATCACAACTCAAGGCGTCACCCCCAGCCAGCAGAGAACAGCAGCGCCGTGAAAGGCGAGCGCGGGAATTTGTTTGTGGACAGAGGATCCTCCCAGTATATCAACCACGAGGTGCTTGTTGATTTAGAAACACAGGTTGGTAGGCTCTGCAAATTTGGCACTTGCAATACTGACAGAGGGCCCTTTGGCGGGTCGTACCAGGCGATCCAAGACAGTCAGTCCTGCAAGCATCGCCTTGGGAAAGCGAAGGATGAGTCTGAAACGCAAGAGGTGGCATCAATTGGCGGGGGGCATAAAATGGTACCCGGCAATGGATTTCTATTCCAGCATTCGTCGATTGCAGTTTTCCTATCCGACTTTTACCCCAACAGCGTCTAGCACTCTATCTTATGGGACTTGTTCGAAGAGAATATTGCCCCGTTGACCATGATTTTCCATAAGCCATCGCTTGCTAAGAGCTTGAACGGTGCAGCTGCAACGACTAGTCCCGACGACAGGGCCTCCGAGGCCGTGAGGTTTGCCGTGTACTTTGCTGCTATCACCAGCATGGACCCAGAGCGATGCAAACATGTATTTGACCGGGAACGTGGTAGTCTGCAACAACACTATCGATTCGCTACGGAACAAGCATTAGCGCGTGCCAACTTTCTTCAATCGCACAACCTGACCGTGCTTCAAGCCACAATCCTCTATTTAACTTGTCTACGTGGGGAAGACGATGCCGCCTTCGTCTGGGCTATGACAGCGGCTGTACATCGCATAGCACAGGGGGGCTAGGGTTACTTCGCGACGGTACATACCTTGGACTAAACCCGTTTGAAACAGAAGTATGACGCCGGCTATGGAGGGCATTATACTTATTAGACTGCCAGTCTCCCGAGTTTCGTGCCATTGGTACGCAAGTCAAAGTGGGAACCTACGACACCGAATTACCCCTGAATATTCATGACTCGGATATATCGCTAGAGTCAAAATTGTTCCCCAACGAAAGATACAGCTTCACTGATGTGACATTCTGTTTGATACGGTGTGAAATGACGGTGCTCATTCGGCAGCTTCACCCAGATCTGCATAGTAGCACCGGCGGTCACGGCGAAGACAGTTCACTGGACAGGGTAACGAGGCTTCATGGACTGAAGCAGATTCATAGTAGATTGCGCAGACGATACCTGGACTTCTGTGACGTCTCAATTCCGTTACAGTGGGTAACAGCCACACTCATCCGCCTGGCCCTTGCCCGATCATGGTTGATTGCCCATCTCCCCGACGGTATGTCCGCGGCAGAGCAGATATCATCGACCGCACTCTCGGATGTGAGATCACTTAGACAGGAACGACTCTTTGTGACGGCAATTGAAGTACTAGAGTTTGCGTATTTGCTCGAGACCGACCCTCGCACCAAGCAGTGGTCGTGGTTCTTCGAGGGTTACCCGCAATGGCATGCTGCCATTTTTGTCCTGAGACAGATCGGCGTTGGACCACAAGCAATGCTGACAGACCGAGCCTGGGCTGTAGCATTGAAAGTCGTTACACGATGGAGAAACAATGACTTCCAAAAGGATGGGGTGACCTCAGCATTGGTCTCTCGTCTTATGGAGCAAGCTGCGGTTGCACAGGGATGCATCTGGGACGGAGGAGAGATCAAAGACGAGACACTATCACCTCCTGATATTGTATCATAAGAAGGATTAGCTAGTGTATCGAGTGCTCAGTTGATAATAAAGTGATATCAAGGTGATATGATGTTTCATTGTCTGGCTTTGTGTCCCGGAACAGACCAAGGCTGAGTGCACCTGTACCGCAATGAATCTTGTCAAGGTATATTCTACGCGAATCAGAGATACATGATGAGGCAATGGGCATCAGCCGTTGCCCATATGCGATCGACAATTTTCCCACATCCTGGCGAGATTGAGTGAGGAGAATGGTTGGCTTCCTGTAGATGTCTTGGAAAAAACACAGTTCTGGCGATATGTGACTCACTATGAATACCAACCAATTCAAACCACTAATGAAGCCATGTGAAGGGGGCCGAGAGAGTACTACTATTACCTCGAGACTATGGACCCAGCCCCCCGGTGACAATGTCAGATATAATTATTATGAACACGGTAAACTTCCCAGGATCGGGCATCCTGTCATTCTTGATAATATGTACACATATTTACAAATTTATCCTTGCTGTCTTGATCGTTCCATCATTCCATCCCGGCAACCCGTCTACTGCACCACAAACTGGGTGGAGTGATCTTTGTACAGCACACTGGAGTCCAGAGTCTCTCCCGTAGTGGAACGGATAAAGTCAACCTGCAAAGCCGTTGAGTTCAGAAAGCGCAAGGTGCTGTAGCTGTAGTCATCGGCGTAGGCAAAAGCCGTGTACGAAGGCTCCGTACCCACAGAACTCAGGCCCTCAATGTTGCCGGCACCACCCGCGACAATGTACATGGGCGCCTTAGGGTTGTTCAGGCCATTTGGATCGGCAGTGTCATTGACTACGGGCTGGAAGCGCTGGGAGTTGTGGACGTGGCCGAACACTCCCAAGTCGACGCCATACTTGTAGAAGATGTTCTCAAACGCCTCCTGGCAGACATCGCAGGCGTTCCCGTCACCCGTAGTGTACCAGGGGCGATGACCGGCCACCACTACCCAGGGGGTGACCGTGCGGTCGACGCTGGCCAGGTCGGCTTCGAGAAACTCAAGCTGCTCGTTCTTGAAGCCGAACGGGCCTGTGTCGAGGTCTGCCGAGCCGTCAGTACCGTCGGGTGCATCTTTGAAGTCTGTCTCAGTATCGATCATGGTGACGTGGACCATGCCGTACTCAAAGGAGTACCAGAAGGGCGGCACGGCCAGACTGCGGGCCTTCTCGGCGAGGGCCTGCGCGGTGGTGTTGGTGGATTGGGAAGCGAACGCGCTCGGAACGGTGGCATCGAAGCGGTGCAGGAAGTCGGTGAAGTTCTTCTGACCCTCAGGGCAGAGTTTGTTCAGGTAGGGAATCTCGCTACAGTCGGCCTCATGGTTGCCGGGACCTGGCATGTACAGACGGTTACCGGAGATGGGTGCCAGCTGGTCGTAGAAGCGCTCCAGGATTGACTGGTAGGCATCCGAGCCGTCCAGCAAGTTCCCCAGGTCCTCGTACCAGTCGTCGGCGTAGGCAAAGTCCCCCGGGTGAATGACTAGCTCATAGTCGTCGATGGTATCGGCCAGACGACCGATAGTGGTGTGGTTCAGATCGGGCTCGATAGTGGGGATGTCGGACTTCTTTGCCTTCCGCGAGGAGAGCGTGTAGCCATCGGTGCCGTAGACACCCAGGTCAATGATCACGTCCATGTTGAAGGGGGTGGTGTCTCCGGGGGTGCGCGGGCTGAGGAACTGTCCCACGGTCGAGTTGCCGGACACGATCTTGTAGTAGTAGGTGGTGGCTGGGGTGAGGTCGGTCAGGTAGGCGACATTGGACCAAGTCCGCGACGTCGAGTAGGTGGTCGACTTGGTCGTGCAGGCCTTGGAGTCCAAGTTACTGCTTGAGGTGCCATACTCGACGCAGCTCTGGTTCAGCTGCTCATACGTGTTCCATGCGACGGAGACAGCTGAAGCAGTTGGTCGTGAAGGTCAGCGTGGGCACTCTGGTGCGATAACAATGGAGAGGGGTTTGACTAACAGTTGGATCCATAGATTGCCAATCTCTGTTGGTAAGGAGTGGTTTTGTCCTCGGGGATGGTGGGATAGTCGACGGCTAGGGTACCCACCGCGAGGACGGGCAGAACCTTGGTCAAGGCAAGAATCTTGGACATGTTGGCGCTTATTCAGAGCAGACACCAAATTCTTTGACACCCGTAGAAGACATTCCTGAAGAAACAGCGAGGGTAGTGGCCGCTGAGGGACTTATATATGCAGTTCCAGTGGGCAGACGCATGACCAAAAATGCGTCCTAGGAGTAACACGTGGGCGGGGACAGGACTGATGCGGAGCAGTGAATGAAGGCTTGCATCTCATCCAGGAGAGCCTTTCGGACGACGCTCCAGTATAGGGTTATTGTGGCAGGCAACGTGCGCCGGTTCGCGCCTCTGCTTGGAATTGGACGAAGGCAAGAGGGGCCCCGCACAGTTCCGCATCAACTAATTTCATTTCTGCAAACTTGACAGATGACGAAGAGGCAGAGCGAGTGAGAAGCGTGGATGAAGGCATTAGTGCTGCACGTGGGATCGGCGACGGCTGTCACTGCTTCGGAAGGACCGGCCATTAGGGGAGAGATGAACCGAGGCTATTCCCGTCTGTCGATCACTCCGGTCGGGGATCCGTCGGCGATGGATGGACTGACCCTACTCTTTAGGACTGGTTCACTTCGGTTACAGATGGAAGTTATGCAATATACTGTTAATGGTGGGTTACATTATGTTGCTACTAGTTAACCACGACTGACATGCTGCATGCGAGGTAGTATTAATCCTCACCCTCGCTAAGCTCTTCCTACAGCAAAAGGCATCCTTGACCATCCACCCCCGTCAATTACGGTTTGTCATATAATTATATCCCCGGTCAAACATGAGCTTGGCCTCGCGCGTGTGCTCATCCAAATCTTCCGTGGGAAGTCGCAGCAGGTTGTTGTCTAGCCCCTGACGCTGCTCGTAATTGCCATCGCCGTTAGGGAAGAAGACCCGCGAGTACATGGCCAGCACTAATCCCGCATGGTCGCCCTGCTTCACCGACTCCAATCCGCGCTCATATCGACTTTGGGAGGGTTCCTGTTCGATCGTCCAACTGTCTGCCGTATCGCCTGTCACTCGGAGCCAACTTGCCAGCATGTCTCGCTGAGTGAGCAGGAAATCGGAGATGTACATCGGCTTGTTCCGCCACCGACTCATTGTCAGCTGGTCATCTTGTTCGTCTTCTGGGAGCACAGGAAGACTCAGAAGGGTAGCCACGGCCCGGCCACACTGGGCCAGGGTGCTGACGTTGACCTTGGTGTTGCCGTCGTCGTTCAGGATGAGCTTCTTAGCGGAAAGATCGAAGCCAAATGCACTCGGCCCCAGTACCAGGCTGTGCTCATACCAGAACCCACAGATCAGTGCGGTCCACGCCATGCCCTCGGCCTCGATGCCGGCCACGAGGTCGCGAAACCCTCCCCAGTTGAGACCGCTGTCGGCTAACGGCGGGTGCGTGACATCACAACCCCAGACATTAGGCATCACATGCCGGATCCCAGCTTGAGAAGCAGCTTGCAGCAGCTTTGACTGGGTATCGCGAGGGGTCCGCACTGAGAGACTGATGATCAAGCAGTCTTGGCCCTGAAGAGCGCGCACCAGGCTGGCCTCATCGTCGTAGTCCACAGTAATGGACTGGACGCCGGCGGGCACCTGGCTCGTACTACCGATGCGGGTCAGGGCTGTCACGCTATGCTGTCCAGTCCGAAGCAGTTCCTCGGTGATGGGCTTTCCGACGGTTCCCGCGGCCTGGCAATTGGACCTACGGTTAACGATGTGGATGGTAAAGTTTGGCATAATGCACTTACTCCGACGATAGCAATGCGTTGAATGCGGTTGCTGAACCCAGCGAGTTGGTCCTTGGCGTATTGGTTGGTCATGATGAGGAATACAGATGAATTTCTGTTCACAAAGAGGCTGTTGAGTTGAATCTGCTTCTGCTGCTATTGTGGCAGCAAATGGGCGATTATATATTGTCGCAGGATTCCCCGTCATACTAGTGACCGGGGATTAGAAGCATTATCTCCGCCATGGCCTCGGTGTCAATAGTATGGTCGCCCGGAGTTAGATGAATCAGCAACCTTCTCTTCCATGCAGTGCTTAACAAGCAAAACCGCAGCTCAGGGATAAGTGGGCAGCTCTGGGGCGCGGGAAGAAGGAGATACGGGGTCCGATACCCCGATCTGCCCGACATGGAGCGAATCTCACCTCATCGATAGGCTTGCTTACTTGACGAGGGAGCGAAGGAGTAGAATCCTTCCGATTGGCGATGACTATTTGACGGCATAATTAGTGATCCCTGATGATGTTTGATAAGCATATTACTATTATCAAGTTGAGTATGCCGCTACACAACGCTCCTTCTGTCCCTGTTCATGTCCCAGCCCTATTACCATGAGTTATCTCGTGGAGGTCTCCACCCAAGCTTTGAAATCCCGATTGAATGATTCAAACCCTTGGCGGGTATTATCTCTCCACCCCGCAGCGTTGGCCAGCATGCCCTGACCCATGAGAAAGCTGAGCAGTCCGGTGAATCGCTCTTCGTGAACGAGACGTGTTCGGCTCGCTTGGCCAGGCTGGTCTGTCGGAGCGCATTCAAAGCTGAAGCGATGCTCGCCTGTAAAAATTCCGGGGATCGAGCCCACCCAGCTGAAGAGGTCTGGGCTATTGGCTCGAACGGTGGGGGTGAATTGCGACTTGCCGTAGTTGACAGTACATTTCAATTGGTCCCCAGCTTGAAGGTGCCCGGGAAGCTTGTCATTGACCGGGATGATGTGCTGTATAAAGCCGGACGGAGAATAGGTGGGCAAAGCTGCGAAATCCAGGAACTGTTGCGCGGATGTGGTCAGTTTGCTGGTACACTTTGGGATTGCAGCAATGGGACGCACCTTGTCCCGCACTACCTCGGGAGCGGCTGCAATCTCCACGCTGGTCGTGATGGTATGCATTGGCTATATAGCTTTTTCTTTTCCGAAAAAAGCTCGCTATGTTCTGACAATGATGAGCAGAGCTTCAGGTATCGGCCAGGCCTTTATAGGACGACTCGAGCGGGCGCACGGGATGCCGTGTCCGAAACCCTCATCGTTGCAGACCCTTTGCGGCTTGGATGTGATGCCTAGTCTGGCTCAAAACCAACAACAAGATAGAAAGAAAGTGGAAGAACGGAAGCGGAGGTTTGAAATATATCTAGTCCGTTCTAGCTGTTGAGAAGACGACTCTGAATGCTCTGTCTTGACATGGCGTGGCTAAGAGAAAAGATGATCAAACCTCCGGGATTGTTTGGCCATCCATGTCAATACGCTTTCTGCCTTGGATACTTGTTCACCAAACGACTCCCCAGTCTCTAGAAAGACATGAAGAAAGGATCACCGGATTTGGCAGCACATTCCGAGCATCCTTAGACATATAATTTCATGGATAGGGGCACAGGGTGGATTTCCGACCGTCGGCCGTTTTCTCTCTCCTTCTCTCCGCTCGGGATATGATTTCCGGGCGGAAGGGTTTTCGTGTTTTTCCATGCCTTCATTAGAGTCATTCTCGCTTTGACTGTGAACTGCCATTGTGAGTATTCTTTCTTATGTTCCGACTATGCCTGCTACATCTAGAAGTCAACGGTCCCTTCGAAAGCATGTTACCACAGCCTGCATCCCCTGTCGTGAAGGGAAAGTCAAGGTAATTAACTCCATCCCCGTCGCCCAACCACCATGATCACCGATTCTCATTTGCGATAGTGTGGAGGAGGTACCCCAACCTGTAGAAACTGCGCTATTCGAGGCAAAACCTGTCGCTACCGACAAAGCGATGACAAACGGAAAGTCCCCGTGCGCCCGGCCGTGGCCGTGCTGGCACGCCGGGTGGACAGCCTCGTCCACTATATCAAAGAGCGTGGCCTACCAGTTCCGCCCATCGACGAGGAGGACCATCGTATCTTGAAAAATGTTCTTGATGCTTTGGAGCTGGGTTGCGAAGACCTTCCCGCAATCCCAAACCACACCAGCCCCCGGAGAGGGCAAGATAATAGTGTCAATATTAACATCGGGCCCACTACGCCCGCGTCCATCAACAGCGGCGGTCCTCCCACTCAGATGGACGAGATCCATAGCGTAGGGCCATCCCACCAACTGACTGTTCCTCTGGATGCTCCTGATCCCTTGTGCGACAATAAACGGACGAAGTGGAAGGGCTCCACTGTGCAGGGAGGACCGAAGGAGGACGAAATGGAAGAAGATGGGGACAGTGACGACGAAGTCACTGACCAGCTCTCCTGTCGACTAGGGAGATTGCAAGTTACCCACGATGGTCAACTTCGATACTTTGGTTCCACGTCCAACTTAACGCTCCTGGACGCACTCGTTGATGTCACTCCGCCTATCGCCTTTCCTCGGGATGCGCCCGAGTTGCTAGAGAATGCCAAGCTTAATCAAAACGTCGACGAAGCATTCGAAAAGCACCTCATTGAGCTCTTCTTTGCTTGGCAGGATCCCAGCTTGCATGTAATTGATGCCGAGAGCTTCTGGCGGTCTCGAACACAAAGTCGTGAGGAGGGGCTTGTCACGCCATATTATTCCCGAGCCCTGTCGGACGCCATGTGTGCCCTGGGAGCCGCCTATGAGCCCAAATATCATCCCGACTTTGTCACCTTTCCCCGTTCACTGGCGGAATACTTTGGCGACCGGGCCAAGCTGCTAGTAGAACTTGAACTGGATAACCCGTCAATTGCAACCATACAGGCCCTGGTTATCCTCAGTAATCATGAGGCATCCTGTACCCGGGATACTCGAGGATGGCTATACAGTGGTAAGCCTTCCCCTTTTCCGGTAAATGGCATGCACTGGGGCTGACGAAGAAGGGATGGCCATGCGTCTTACACTGGATTTGGGGCTTCATCTGGAGATGGGCCCGTATGTGGAAAAGGGAATCATTCCCCATCAAGACGCCGAGGTGCGCCGCATGGTATTCTGGGGGGTCTATTTGAACGAGCAGTAAGTGTCCCCGCCCTCTTCTCCTGGGATAACCTGCTTACTATCCAGGTTCTGGGGATTTTATCTGGGCCGCTCCGCCCAATGCCGGATGGACGCCGTCACGGTGCGGGAGCCCATGTCTCCGAGCCCGTTTCCTACCTCGACCTGGAAGCCATATCCCGATCAACTCGGGAGTAATTTTCCTCCAATTCCCTTTAACCCACTGTGCCAGGAATGGGTCTCACTCTATGAAATCATGCTCCCGCTCACCGACGTCTTGTAAGACACCGCCTCCAGTAAAGAAATATGCTTGGCGCTAACGGTTACTTCCAAAGATACGGCTGTTCAGAGATCTCTACTCATGCCCTGCAGGAGCTGGCTTCGACAACCGTTGAGAAGTTGCGAATGTGGCAGGTTAACCTCCCAAAAGAGCTTACGGTCGATGAAGGGACTCATACTGGTTTCCGATCGCCATTGCCCCATGTTCTCACCCTCCAGTAAGTCCTGCCAGGATCTCTTGTTCAGTTTCGGTCTCAAATCTGACAGCTATTCAGTATGCAGTACTACCAGTTCATGATCCATTGCCACAAGCCCTACATCTCGCGACGCCATATACAGCCCCAGCCTCCTCAAGGTCCAGGCTCAGGCCATGCTCGAAAAATGTGCATCGAATCTGCAGTGGCCATCGTTCAACTGCTCGGCCTCTATGAGCAGGCCTACGGCTTTGACAAGACCAGTATCCAGATGGTTTCATTTGTATTTTCAGCTGCACTAATATTGATCTTCAACACTGTTCCCGCTAGAACCACGTCTCGAGATCAACTCCTGGTGAACCATCTCAATACTTGCTTTCGGGCCCTTGACCGCATGGCTAGCTGCTTCGAGAATGCCCGACGCACCAGCGTTTTCCTGGGCACTTTGCGCCAACAATGGCAGATACGCCGGCAGAAACGCCGAGCTCTCGGGGGCAAGTTGAACCTTACGTATGGCCGTGCGCAGGGCCTTTCGGAATCATCGGGGTGGAACCGGGAAGATACTGAAGGGCCCCCAAACATGCCGTGTAAGCCTGTGCTCACAGAGGGTTCTTCTACGGGACTAGATACTGAACTTAGTGATCTCGTGCCATACTACTCTGTGATTACTGATGCATCCACATCCACAGTCGATTTCATGGCACCCAATCTTTGTAACATCCTGCTCAGTGAAGGGATCCCTCGCGCATTTGTTTGAGTTGAGGAATATGGCATGGCATCTGACCTGTTTGGTATACGCTCCTCAGTTTCTACGAAAGCCTCACCATCTTGCAGAGGATGCACTATGAAAGCATCTCATGGCATCATGCTTCCAATCTCATGTTATTGAGCTAGGGAAACTTGATTGCGACTGTAGCCGCTCGAACAATACAGCTGGAAGAAACGATGCTATGCGAAGGCACCCTTATCTTCTTAAGTTGTAATCGTTTTGAAAATGATTTGCAATGGTTGTACATAATAGGGGACAGAAGTATCCGTCATGAACGCGTCAACCTGATGTTAGGGGTACCCGTTATACTATACCAAAGGCAAGGACTACTTGAAACGTATCTTCCCCGCTCCCTGTTCAGGTGGCCCCAAAAGAAGTAATGCCCTATGGGATAGGATGTTAATGCCTTTTCCACATGGTAACTTGTCCCGATTATAGAGCCGGCTGTCCACAAGATGGTAGGACGGATTTGTGCTCAGGCTGGAACAATAGAAAAGAGTGCCTACAGCTTTCTTTACAGTTAGGCGTTGCTGCAATACTTCATGATGGAATGGGCATAACGTCAGTCACACAATTCAGCTTCAAGAGGCAGTGGTCGAGCACCTTTGTAGTGAAATGCATTTGTTGGTCAACTCTCTGACACCGTCACCATGATCCCAATACGATGCCCCGAAAACGAGCCGAAACTTGTACCTGTGAGATCATTCAATTCTCAGATTTACTGCCACACACGTTTAACTACTAAACTGCATCTGGTGCATGCGCTCGGAACTACTATATCAAGCTACATGCATATCAAAGCATGCAGGTAGCGAAACGCCCAGAATTCGGCTTCCTGCAAAACACCGGATTTGAACAGAGAATGTCAGAACGTGTATCCTGCCCAAATCCAGCTCATAAGATGCCAGTAAACGATCAACACGCATACTCTTTGAGTTCCTGAAGTATCATCCAACGTTGCAGTCGATTCCACGGTTTTAAGGTTTGGCTAGTAATGAAAGGTCACAAGGATGTCATAATAATCAACAGCCGTTTGTGACTTTCTTTTGCAGAGTTGGGATTTCATATAAATATTTACAAGTAAATAATTTGTAACTATCCAACATTTGAAGTGGAAATCCATGATTGATTCAACTGTTGCGCGCAAGACAACCCAGATCTCTGAACTACATTTTGATCAACGACCGCTGCATCTTACCATCCGCTGAAATGAAGAAGAACCCTCCAACACAGGACGTTATTCTTCAACGGTTACATGGCCATACGTGCTTCATACCGGATCTTCGGTCTCTGATAAGGAATGAACCCGGGGTCAAAAACAGCAACCATACTTTATTAGCACTATGTGTTAATGACTATATAGATAGGTATGTATCTCACATCACAGTAGGGACCTTTACCAGAAGATTACGCTGATGCCGGTGACCTTCTCAGTCTCTTGCCCGGAGATCCAGCCAAGGCACGCAAAGTAAAAGCTTCTGATTTCCCACTATTAGCCTGTCTTTGGTGGCCACATACATCATTCAGAAAGCTGCGTGTCTTGGCATTTCTAGTTGTATGGCTAATTGTCTGGGACGACGAACTGGATGGGGCATCCCAGTTGACGGCGTACAACCTGAATATGGGTCAGCAGTTTCGGGACGAGACGCGTCAGTATATCGGTAGCAGTTTGGAATTGAATTCGGAACAATCTGATCATATTACCGACAATATAATTATTTGCGGGTTTAGTCCAATAGCAGATTTCATCCGAGAAGAGTATGACGAAGGTATGTCAGTTAGGCAGAGCGGAT